CACCTTGGTTTAGGAATTATTATCAAATTTTCAAAAATTTGCCACTTCAACATTCGGTTTTTGAAAATCCACGAAATTTCTTCTATAAAATTCGCGAAATTTTTGTTTGTTTATGTTTTATAATGTATACGAAGAGAAAATGTTCCCAATTTTGATTTACCTACAACAGCGACTGCGCGGCAGAAGCATTGTGAATTGGGCATACCCCTCTTTTACATTAATTACAAGAACAGTCTCTTCAAATCTCATAATTATACTCTTAGTAAACACACTGTTTTATTTTATACCAGGGGTCCAGGACCAATGCAATCAAACAGAAATCATGCACTATAGTTTCAGTAGAAGTAAATATTTCTATTTACTGTTATAGCCATAGAGAATAGAATATATAGAGAGGAATTAAAAGAATCTCTCGGTTGAAAGGGAGTTCAAAGTGTACAAATCATGTAAATGTTCACAAATTATATGCAGTAGAGTACATTAATACAGTATGTTCCCTAGACTATTCATTTCAATTTCGAATTCTTTAAACTGTTAAATAAACTTTATAAAATGAATTAGGTGAATAAAAATCATCATTTGATTTATAGTTATAACGGAAAATCATCGTTTGTAAAGTGGAAGGCATAGAGTCTATGTGAAATGATCATTGGTCAATTATGAAACCAGCCTTTTTCATAATTTGGGTTTCTTTTAACAATAATTTTAGATTTTCTATAAAATGATATTCCAGGGCCCAACAGGTTATATAGCATAAATATGTGAAGTACACCTGAACTATTGAAACAGTACAACAAAATGGCCGTTTTACACTTTTTTCCAGTAAATTCCTCTCTATATATTCTATTCTCTATGGTTATAGCGCCAGTATAAGGATTTATCTCTAATTGGATAATGATCTAGATAGAAAAATAGATGTTACCGCCATGCAATTTTCATTGGTTCAAAATAGACACCAAACATATGGCTGAACCCTGATTAGATCAGGCGCTAATTGACCGGCATACTAGAGTGAATGTATTACCTGCAAATTCCATTTTATGATCATTGATGTTAAAGGATAAAATATCTGGGTCTGCTACAACTACTTTCTTCTCCTAAACAAATTACAATGAATCTTAAAATATAATTTATAAGGTTTTTTTTCTGAAGCCATTAGGCTAAATATTTAAAAGTTAAGCCATGGTAAAAATTAGGAAAAAGGAAGTTGACAGTCTAAAGGCAAGCAAGTAAAGCTTTATAATTTTTACTTAATCTTAAATATAATAAAATTTTATCCGAATTTCATTAAATTTTTTAAATTTATAAATAGGACACACGTAAACGAACACCCGTCCCATATGTCATTATGGAAGTTGTATTCCGTTTTATAAAAAGCTTAATTAAAATTTGTTTGTTTGTTTAAATGAGTGATTTGGAGTAAGCGACACCCCATCCCCCTTTTTTTGAGGTGGGGGGGGGTAATCTGAAAAATATATGTATCTCGGCCCCGGGTATATAAAGTTTTACCTTAAGTGGGAAGTCCCCAAGTGCACGTGATGTAGCAAGTACACCTTGAACCCTCCAAACACCATTTAGTGACACGAAGCCCCCCGCCTCCTGTATTCTTCGCTTCTCTTTCAGCTGAACAAAATAGAAATTATTTTGATTAGTATATAATCTCTGTTTGTTTGCTTGTATGTCCAATCAAAACTCGTAAGTCATGAACCCCTAGGTCAATTTCTCTAAAATTTTTAATTGCATGGGGAATTCGAGAGAACAACGGGAATGTGTTTTGCTTGTTTTAAAAATTCTAAGTTGACTTTTATAGAGAAATACAGTTTTCTCGGCAAAGCTGGGTTCCCAATTACTAGCATTTTATAAAAAGAAATACCAAAATGTGACGCATGACAAAAAGGATGGGGGTGTAAGGGTTACAATGTAGACAGTTGGAGTAATGAGTAATATATATAGAGTTATACTGAATAACCAATATAATACACTTAATATTTGTAACATTGATGGTTTAACATTAGCTGGAAAAAAGAGCTAGAAAGATATTAACTAATAAAATTATAGCTTGGGGTCAGTTTGAGCATATAAGTATTACCTGGCAAGGTTTATGATCAAAAGATAGAGGTACAGCCTGTCCTGTCTCAGTACTATAAACACCCCTGGGCAAATAACAATATAATTTTTTTATCCAAATATCACTTTTTTTTAATGCAATCTTTAAACTTTATTTTTTGATATGTTCGTTGTTAGGTCATCAAGTTGACATCCTTGTCCTTTGATCTAGATTGATAATGGGCATGGATTTTATTTTTATAACGTCAAACATGGCGAAGTTTGTGTTAACACATTTTGTAGATTTTTAGTAATAACAAATAGCAGTTTATAGTAAGTACTATGATTCAACGGGAACAAATTTTCTACAAAAAAAAATCTTTTCCTTAATTTATTATACAGAGGTTTAAAGACCAATGCTGTGAATCCCTTACGAGACTCTTTAAATGTTAAAATTGACAATTCTTTTCATAACGTTCCTAATTCTTCAGAGAGATATAAAGTAGTTCAGATTTTACTTATTTAGAAAAATAAATAATTTCAATTTGAATTTTAAAAAACCATAAAAAATTACCTACTGTCCCCTACATTAGCAACCCAGAAGGATCCGTTATCTAGAATACTCAGCAGCAAGGTCGTCCCTAAAGAATAAATTAAGCTGAATACAGTTAAATTAAAATCGTATTCTATGCTTGCTAATCTAATGGTTTATGTTTACAGTTTAAAACATAAAAATATGGGAAAGGAAGAAGGATTTTTAACTAAAAATGTTAGATATTCCAATTTACATTCAATTTAGCAATTATGCAATTTTCATAAAAGTTTATTTTTAAAATACTATAACAATAACTTTACATAAGCTTGTTTAAATATTGTCTTCATGATTCATGAATACCACTGTATAGTTAGTCCTATTATAGAGAAAAGGACATTAAGAAAAAGTTTGTTAGTAAATTAGAAAAAAGTTTTTTACACAGTACGATTGAATTTTGCTCTTAAGTCTTACATAAATTCTAACATTTTTTAGTAAAATTGAACAAAAGTTTGTTTGTTCGTTCTTCAGCGTCCATTTAAAAGGCTCCACCAAAAAGTTTGAGTTTTACATACTTTAAATCAATATTGAAATCTATTTAAAGTTTTTTCAAATGCCTAAAAGGGGAAACAGAAAAACAATTCTAGTCGCGGCTTCTTTTATCTTTTAATTCTGAAATATTATCGAGGATTTTAAAATTTAAAACTTAACTATACTATATAGTTATAATTTAAATCCTAAATATTGTTTAAACATAACAAATTACAATTACTTTGGAACATTTTTAAATAAAAGAAAGAAAAAAGACAACTTTGACCACAAAGAAATCTTATTGTTTACACACAGGATCCGGATCTATTTTTTCCAGTGCGGATCCAGGATCCGGATCCGCATTAAAATTAAATGGATCCTAAGCACTGTTTACATACTATTTGCTCAAAAAGATAGATCCGGATCCATTTTTTCCAGTGCGGATCCAGGTTCCGGATCCGCATCAAACATAATTGGATCCTAAGCACTGTTTCATACTATTTACTCAAAAAAGATTATATTATTATATTGTTATTTTACCTCCAATTGCGTTCGCTTGTTTGGCAGCTTTAAGCAGTTTTTTATCACATTTTAGTATTTCATCATTCATAAGTTTAGCGTACAGAAGTTCTCCAGAACAGCCTAAATCAAGGAAATTTATTTTGAAATATTGAAAATTGTTTTAAAATGTTAATTGATATTTCCGAATCAACAGGATAAATCGATTTCTACAAAGTCACACCTGCACGGTAAACTAGGGGTCCTGCACGGTAAATTAGTGGTCCTGCACGGTAAACTAGGGGTCCTGCACGGTAAACTAGGGGTCCTGTACGGTAAATTAGGGGTCCTGCACGGTAAATTAGTGGTCCTGCACGGTAAACTAGGGGTCCTGCACGGTAAATTAGTGGTCCTGTATGGTAAACTAGGGGTCCTGCACGGTAAATTAGTGGTCCTGCACGGTAAATTAGGGGTCCTGCACGGTAAACTAGGGGCCTGCATATAAAATTAGTGGTCCTGCACGGTAATTAAGGTTTCCTGCAGGTAAACTAGGGGTCCTGCACGATAAATTAGTGGTCCTGCACAGTAAATTAGTGGTCCTGCGCGGTAAATTAGTGATCCTGCACGGTACATTAGTGGTCCTGCACGGTAAATTAGTGGTCCTGCACGGTCAATTAGTGGTGCTGCACGGTAAATTAGGGGTCCTGCACGGTAAATTAGTGGTCCTGCACGGTAAATTAGTGGTCCTGGTTTAAAGTCAGTGAGCTTAAACTTTAGAATCCATTTTTACCCGTTAAATTAAATATAGATTTTTCTTCAAAATGTCTCAAAAATATAAAAAAAAAATTTACGCTTTCTTCTACGAAGTATTAGTTAGAGATCATAATTATAACTGAAAATATGTCGATACTGTCGATGTCACATTTATCTTTTTTTTTGGGAAGATTTTTAATAGTTAAAAAAGATTTTGATCTTATTTTTTATATTATGGAAGTTTGAACGGGTTTTCATTTATGATCTCTGACATACTAGAAAAGTAGGTCATTTATCTGTACCTACTACCTAGCTCGTGTTTTTAATGCTCTTCGTTGATTCCGTCCTTCAAACGGTAAGAAAGTTAGTCCGACCGAGTACATTTGGAAATTTGTATTTTTGTCTTATATAGCAATAATTACGCTTCTTCAATCTCACTTATGACTTTTAATATACTAGACTTTCAGTACGCTTCGCGCCCATCTTCTATTTCAATTGTGAACATGTTCTCTTTGAATACATTGTAAAACAAAAACAAACAAAAAATTTCGTGGATTTTCAAATATCAAATTTTGTTAAAAGCAAATTATTGAAAATTTTAAAAGCTTCCCCCAGGGTCACGCGAGGTCCCACAAAAAAATTGGGCCCGATCGGTTCAGCCGTTTTGACGTTTATTTGACATAAACGGACAGACAAGAAAAACAGACAAGCAAAGTATATATATATAGATAAGATGTAAGGTTGCAGGCTCAGAAAATTACAAGTTTTAAATCTTAAATCTAGTTTTATGAAATTGTTAAATTAAACTCATATTGATATTTTTCAAATGGTCCATCATTGGGCATTTTTATATAAAATGAAATATTAACGGTATATTATTCTTAAATTATCAACTGAAATATTTGATGATAATTAAAGCAAAAAGAATGCAAAAAATATTTGAACATCTAAAAAGCACGCATTATATTTGTACTATGCTTTGCTGAATGAACCTGAAATCCTCAAAAGGAAAAAATCCCTCAGATCTCTGGCTTATTAAATTCCGCAACAAAAAATGTTCCACATGTATAGATTATTTTCAACAATATATTCAAGGGAAAATCATAATCGTTCAAACAAACAAATAGAGCAAAAATAAAATTATAAAATATAATAAATAACCAATATAAACTGAAAGCTTAATCAGAAAAAAATCCTACGGATAAAAGATCTAATTATGATTAACATTTTACGATGAGTGCAATTTTTATCTCTTTTAGATGATTCTTTTAAGACGACAAAAATCTGCATTAAATCATCAAATTTTGTTCTTTAACAGGAAAAATTCTCTAACATAAAATCACTACCATTTAACGCGTTCCGAATTCATTCTCAATATCTTTAATATTTTTGCAAACTCTCCCATTATTCTTTATTGGCATTAATAGCCCATTAATTCCAAAAAATGTAATACCTATGTAGTCTGTCACTTCAGGTTCTTTTTCAACAGAATCCTCTTTCTTGTTTTTGGATTTTATTTTTGGAGTTTTTCTGTTTTCTTTGAATGGTTTTCTGGCTGGTGGTATTGGAGTTTTTGGGATGGGGAGCTCCTCTAGAAAAAGAATATCTTTTAAAAAAAATGATAGGATTCAAATACTTATACAATCTCTTGACTTAGACTCTAAATTTTATCTTATTCTTATTATTCCTAAAGATTTATGTCGGTTGCTCAAAACAATTTGATTGTTTGATTTTTTTTCTGGATTCACATCATCCGCCATATTTGATTTATCATCAGCTGACTTCTCATTTCCAGTCCCGGCATTTTTTTCTTCATTTTCAGAACAACTGGATTCATTTCTAGAAATAAAAACAGAAGTCAAAACTTTGTCCCGAATATTAAAAACGAACTGGAAATATCCTAGTGATCTTACCTGTAGAGATCAAGTACTTCCCAGAAAGGATTTTAGTCTTAGTCACCCAATACAATATTATAGACCCCGTAGACCTTAGATACATCTAACTATGAATTCTGTTGTATCAAATAATCTTTGTTTGAAATAAAAAAGGTTTAGACGTGCAGCATGTTAAAATGATATAGGGATAAGAGAGCATTTGAGTTTGTGGCTAAGACTCAATTCCTTTAAGAGTTATCACAATGTAAATAGAGATTAAGCCGATTGTATGGTTTAGCGCTCCGTCAATCAAAAGTTTAAACCTCATGGTTGTGACTGTATCACCTTGGTTTAGGAATTATTCTGTTGTACTCCTGCTCCGTCACACCCAGATATGTTTTTACAGATTCAGGAACTATTTTTTCAAAAACTTTTTGGCAATTTCTTCTTAAGTATTTTCATTTTTCCTAAATTTAAATTAGTAAATTATTAAAATCCTAATATTTTGGCCAATCAAGAGTGATTTCCTTGTCCGAGAGTTTTGAAAAAATATTTAATTTTCTCCTCTTTCCTCTTGGTACTAAAAAATATGATAGAAAATTGAGTAATTTTATGATAACCCGTTTATTAAAAATTCATCGCAGTAATTACTAGTTTTCGCTTCATTAAGCTTAGTTTAAATATTAGGTTAGTTAACCTTATAGATTTTCAAACTAATAAGCAAAACATATATTTATTTCAAGAGTAGAATATTTAAGTCAAAAGCAGTTGTTCGATTTGTTTAATTGTGTTTTAATTTTCACTTTTCTGTCAATATTCCTTGCTAAGTATTTAATCTGCTCAATCTTTTTTTCCACAGAATCTATTAAATGCTTTCTAGCAAAATCTGCAGCAAACTGAAACAAAAAAACACTAAAATAATCTTAATAAAATTGACAACTTAGAAATGCGTGTTTGACTTCAGAGACAGTTAAATGTGAACGTATTTTTTTGTCAAAATTAATTTGAAATTTTCCTGAAACATGTTTAAAGCTATTTGGCGGAAAATCTCTTAAAATTCGAATATTTTTTCTGTAAATATTATTTCCATTACAAAACTATATACACACAATAAACACACAAATGAAACATTAACTATTTCCATCAATGACGACCTAGAAGTCTTCAGAAATTAAGCATAACATGCTTCTGCATCAAAATAGAAAACAATCCTGAAAATTCAAATTTAACACAGAAAAAATTGTATTGAATGTATAGAATGAATCTGTAATCTATTCTTTTATCGTGCAGGGTTACCCACAAAGGATGAGACTTCAGAGACGACTAAGGAATGTACTCAGTCTTTTTTCATTCTTCGTTTCATGTAAAGTTCTTAATTTATTTACAGATTATATCATTCCAAAACTGAATGCAAGGCATCTTCAGATCATCATAAATTCAAGTTTTTGGTCGACATTAAAGTATCATTCTTTGATGACCCTGTATCTTCTCTGCCAAGAAATCAATCAATCACACACCTAAAAATTACCTCTCCGCCATGTCCGTCCATGACAGCAAAAATGCGCACATCCCCGTCCACCGTTTTAACAACACGTGCAACTGCTCGGTCCTCGTTACCATGTCGTCTTCCTTTAGATCAAGTAAAAAATATATTTTTGCTGCCAGCATTCTCCACTACTTAGCTTTGCTCTGATAAAGACTCCAAAGATTAATTTTATTTCGTTTTTACTTTTTATCAAGAAACTGACTACGAAACTGACTACTCGCCTCAAACTTAAACTAACCATAATTTAAAATTTTGTTCTGGGTTGACCCTCTTCAGTTCTTGAGTTTTGTTTATGTCATGAAGATTCAAAACAAACAAAGTTTCAAATCCCAATTCTCTAAAAAAAAACTCTTTTTCTGTGAGAGTGATAAACCCATGGAACAGTTTGCCAGACTATATTAAAGAGTCTAAAATCTTAAACATTTTCAAGAACAGTTACGATGATCATGTGAAAAATGTCGAGCGCGCATATATAGTGAAAAATATCAAGTTTAAGAATCGCTTTTTATTACCAAAAATGGTATCTAAGCGAAACCAGAACAATATATAATACAATATCATGTTGATGTAAACCTTCGATATAAATTTCATCTTAGGTAATCTGATCTTGAAGAATTCAAAATTTCAAATGTCCAAGTCAACGACATGAGGTGGAAAAGACGTATAGGGTTTAAAAATACAGTGTTTAAGAGTGAAAACATGTATGTTGTTGAACTAATAATATTTTTGATTTATTCAACAATGAACAATTCAATAATATATTTGGCCTCATTTTATAAAAACAACAAATCTGACAAATACTTCCCTAATAATATTCTAAAAGGGACTGTTTTCTGATAGATTTATGAAAGTACAACCCATAATTAAATCATTAATCAATCAAAGCTTGATTCATTTCTATCAATTGTTACTAGGTCAGAACTTTTGTATGGAGTGTCGTTAATCTTGAACTTACGATCTCGATATTCAATAGGACACTTCTGAATTTGAAGATTACTGCTTCTGAAGATGAAGATTAACTTTCTGAGAATCTTATCTTGTTCATCTTTAGAGCCGTCTTAATTTTATGTAAGGATACATTTGTGGATGTAACTTGAAAAAAATATGCTAGAAAATCCTTCGGTATGAATTTTTTCAGTCCCTTTCAGCCTGAAAGGCAGTTCAAAGTGTACAAATCATGTACATGTTCACAAATTATATGCAGTAGAGTGCATTAATACAGGATGTTCCCTAGACTATCCATTTCAATTTCGAACTTTTTAAAGCTTTTAAATAAACTTTATAATGAATTAGGTGAATAAAAAACATCATTTGATTTATAGTTATAACGGAAAATCATCGTTTGTAAAGTGAAAGGAACAGAGTCTATGTAAAACGATCATTGGTCAATTATGAAACCAGCCTATTTCATAATTTGGTTTTCTTTTAATATTAATTTAAGATTTTCTATAAAAAGATATTCCAGGGCCCAAAAGGTTATATAGCATAAATATGTAAGTACACAAGCAGTATGGAAACAGTGCAACAAAATGGCCGCTTTACAATTTTTTCTAGTAAATTCCACTCTAATATATATTCTATTCTCTATGGGATTAATTCTGAGGTTATTTGAATATTGGACAATTTAAAAGATATCAAGGACACGCCGGGTACTATTAAGTTAGTTTTATATAAATTGCACTCCTATAAATGCTTTAAGTTTTTCTACTGCGCTCTCAAAGTCAGGTCAGACCCTTTTTGTGTTGTGATCATAGATAAAGATAGATTGCGCATAAGACGACATTTTTCATCTTGAAAGATATAAATATACAGAGATGTTTTAAAGATATTCCTATTATATAGATTAACTAGGTCGGTTGTGAACATTTGCTGTTCTTATGTCATTGAATACTTGTGGTGTACATAAGTTCTGTAGAAAGAAATTTAAGTTAGTTTAGTCCTTCTCATGTACTTCTTCAGTTCTCGTCAATATGATATATTGCTCAGTGAAATATTGTTGTTCAAATAGTTCCTGAGTGGTTTAATAATTATGAAATCAATTAAAACGCCAAACCATCCCGCTTATCATTGAAGTACACTTTGACCCCTAGAAGTATGAATTCGCGGACTGTACAATTCTTGGTGATTTTGCGTACATAAGCTACCTATGTTTATTTATTTATCTATGGCTGTGATTGTGAATCTCAAGATCAAGCATTGATCCTTGCGCGAACCTAGGGATTATTTCAACTCCGCTAAGGTATCCAGGATAATGCTATTGAGATTTGAGATTATACGTTGTAGAATAGCGCACATTTCACAAAAGGGGTTTGAATTCTCGTCATGCAATTTACTCTCTCCCGTATAATAATAATTTCGTTAAACTTAAGATATCATGAAAAAATCTAATTTTCTAATGAAACGAAATAAAAAAAACTATACCTTGAAGACTGTATATTATACTGCAATCTTGAACCTCCTCCCAGTCTGTAGCTAAAATAAATAAAAAATTTGAAAACCTTATGTTTTATAGATAAATTATGTATATCATTTAGATATTTTTGTAGCCTTCGTGATTAATGAATTATTTATAAGTTTGAGTTTGTGGATACATTTCTCAATTTATCATTGATTATTTAGTTCCTCTCTAACCTAGTTAAATTCCTACCTGCAGCCTGTACAGACAACACGACGGTCTTTTTAGATTATTTTTTAATATTTGTAGAAATACATTCCATTGATACAATATTATGTACTTTTTTCCTTTAGGATCATGCTTTTTTTCGATGGCTATTGCATGAAACTAATTCTAACTTATTTTTTATCTATAACAGACGACGAGGATATTGGATTGTTAGACAATTTTGTTTTTATGGTATGCTATATACATCGAAATATAATCCAAATTCTTGAATTCTTATTTCTTTAAGTCACAAAAAAAAAGACAGACTACATTTTGGAAATGCCTGGACTAAGGGTATTTCATAGATATTGTTTCAAGAATCTTTTCTTAAGAGTTAAGAGACAAAAGTCGTAACCTTAAAAATAATGTATTTTGTCAATTACAAAAATGGACTCCAATTGTAAAAAATCAGCCACTCCCTTTAAAAGTCCTAAGATTTATAAACCAAAATGAGAGCGTTCCCGCCAGAGTATCATGATTTATGATAGGACATACACACAAACAAGCAGAGAAACTTACTACTTTATTTAGAAAGATATCTGAACAAAAAGACATTATCAAAAAACCTCTGCTCGTGCAGTCTTTTATTAAACTTATTATGCAAAAGCTGTTAAATGAACCTAATAAGCCTTTAATTTTACATATTTCAGCGGGAGATTTCTTAAAACGCTTTCTTATCTGCTTGAATTGCAAGGCTGTGAAAGCAAGGCATGAAAAAATATCTTCTCGTGCATAATTATGCAAATTCAGCAAAATATGAAATATCTAAAGATTTATTGACAAAAATCACTTTGAACTAAAAATCTCTTAGAACAGAAAATACATGATTGGCTTATAATTTTCTTCAGAACAAAATATCTTAACCTTGCATTAATATGCTTTTTTTCAGTTTTAAAGATTTACAACATTTATACGTGCTAAACAAAGTGAAATAAATAAATGGATAAAAATGTCCTGAGTAGGGAGGCTGAAGAAATAAATAAAATGGCGAAGTATGTATTGCAATGCTATATTTATAATGCACGCACGTGTATAAATGAATAACCTGATGTTTGCTAAGAACAAATAAATAAATAGCCTGGTGTTTGCTAGGAATAAATAAATAAATATGATGTTAGCTAAGAATGAATAAATGAATAACCTGATGTTTGCTAAGAATAAATAAATAAATAATCTGATGTTTGCTAATAATGAATAAATAAAAATAACCTGATGTTTACTAAGAATGAATAATTAAATAACCTTATGTTTTGTTTTCTAAAGATAAATAAATGAATAACCTGATGTTTTCTAAAAATAAATAAATGAATAATCTGATGTTTTCTAAAGATAAATAGATAACCTGATGTACAGATGTATACTAAGAATGAATAAATGAATAACCTGATGTTTTCTAAAGATAGATAAATAAATGAATAACCTGATGTTTTCTAAAGATAAATAAATGGATAACCTGATGTTTTCTAAAGATAAATAAATGAATAACCTGATGTTTGTGTTGGTTGGATGAAGAATGAGTTTACCAGTGTACAGGATGAAAAGCTTCGAAACCAACCAAAAATTCTGCGTTCATTGTCAAACCTTGGAAAAATTATATAAGTTAGGTTAGGCTGAAATAGATAGATAGTTAGGTTAGGCTGAAATAGATAGATATTTTATTATGTTTCAGAATGTCACATCTAATATATCAATTATCTAATTTGTCAAAGTTAAAAAACATTCTTTTTTGGTATTTTTGAATGCACTTTCTTGTGTTCTTTGTAGGTTGGATTAATGCTTCTAGTTTTTTTTTCTTCACAAAATAACCCAAACGGGCATAGAGAAATAAGTTTTTTTCATTTAATTAGCTCTTATCCAAGAAATAACAGCATTAAAGATAGCAGCCAACATATTCAATATCCTTCATAGCCACGTTTAAATTAAATTCTAAAATTAACCAGTTTAATCTGACAAGAACATGATGAAACTACTGTTAAACTAAAGATATCTAGTGTTTCTGTTTACCTTGAAATAATTAGGAGAATGGTTATCAAGGCTAGAGTTAAATACAGAAACTCCTTTCTTAGTAGCAAATCAAGTAAACTTCTAAAATTGGAAGAAAATCATTCAATTTCATGGATATTCATTTCATATACATTTTTACGTATGATGATGTGGATATCATCTTTATGTACATGATGTATCATTGGAGACCACAGTCAATTGTACTTTTATTCATTCATACATTTCCAAAAACATATTTTTCCATTTTTCATAAATGTATTTTTTTACACAATCAAATGTGTTAGACGTAATAATCGTTATAAAAAATTTGTATATATTTGATCTTGCTTGTTACCATGGAGTGTGCGAGTGCGATGACTCTTTAAATCTGATTATTTTGCCGTAATCTTGAAAATACAGTTTATTTTAAAAAAGACCTTGGACATACGGATGAAAATGATCGTCCGAATTCCTTACTCTTTATAGTTTTGACTGGTATCTTTAATCCGATTTGGGTTACAAAGGAACTGAACACTCGCCACAAATTCAAATTTTCCAATCCTCAAATCTTAAGTTGTAACTCGTAGTTTGTCTGCCGATACATCTGATGGAAAAAGGTTGTTCAGATTGATTTTTAGTTCATATGGCTTTAATTCTAAATTTTGTTTTTATTTTTCGTGNTTGTTACTGTAGATAGAAGAGGACTGCAATACACGGATCAAAAGTTGGCAGTGCCCGAGTATAGATTGATAAAATAATTCCTCCTCCAGTTCGTCCTGATAATGAGACAATAAGTTAACAACTAGTAAGAGTACCCAGGTTCACCTAGAAACGTAAATTGAACCCTGTTTAGTCTCCAATTATCCAACTTAAATCCTTTATATCATGCAGTTCTTAATTTTTGTTGATGTTTATCCCCTGGAGTTAAACTTAAATTCGTAATTTAAATTTTACGCTGTGGATATCGGGTTCAGTCAATGTGGCTCAGCGTATAATAATTATATTACCTAGTATATTACCTAGTATATAACCTATTACCTGATATATTACCTGTTATATTACCTAGTATATTGGAAATTGCCATAATTTTTTGCAAAGAATATAACCTTGTATAATGAATTGTATGGTGATTATATATTGTATTGTATAATGTATTGTATTATGTTTTGTATAATGTATTGTATAATGTATTGTATAATGTATTGTATGATGTATTTTATAATGTATTGTATACGATATCGTATAATGTATTGTATAATGTATTGTACAATGTATTGTATAACGTATTGTATAATGTACTGTATAATGTATTGTAAATGTATTGTATATGGTAGTGTATAATGTATTGTATAATTTATTGTATGATGTAGTCTACAATAAATTGTATAATGAGTTGTATAATGTATTGTATAATGTATTCTATAATGTATTTTATAATGTATTTTATAGTGTATTTTATGATGTATATAACTTGTAATCATCTTACCTGGTCAATTTTTGATTTCGGAAAAGCCATAGTTTTGTTTTTACATTATATCTAGAAAACAAGTTTAGAATGAAGATTCATTAAGATTGAAATAATAATAATAAAGGTTAAGAAAATAATTGAGCCCATGGTATTGATCCTTACCTTCTAAGTTCTAATGCTGACTAATAAAACAAAACTAATTTATTTTAAGATTTTAGAATTTATTTTGCTAATTTCTTTTAATTGTTTCCCCCTTTTCTGGTATAATCACAAATTTTTGTTAAAATGCGTATCTATATATAAATTTGTCTTATCTGTCTGTTTGTTTGTCTGTGTTGGTGTCTGTTTGTTTGTATTCAATAAACGTCAAAACGGCTGAACCGATCGGGCCCAAATTTTTTGTGGGACATCACGTGACCACAGGGAAGGTTTATGAATGATACATTTTTTTTAAAAAATGTGTTTTAAAGGTTTTTAATTTTGTAAAAAAAAAATTGAATTCTTGAAAATCCGCAATTTTTTTTTTAAAAATCCGCAAAATTTTTTTCTTCTTTGTTTTGAAACATAAACAAAAAGAACATGTTCACTATTTAATTAGAAGATGGGCGTGAAGCACCCTAAAAGCCTAGAAAGAAGGGCGCGAAGCGCCATGAATTTCTAGTAGTTAACAAAAGTACGAAAGTTCGGAATGTTTGAAAATTCGCAATAGTATGTTACCATGTACTTTTATATTTAATAATCAAACAAATATTTTGCCCGATATTATTCTGATATTACGTTTTCACGGTTCATTCAACTTAAAGAGAAAGGTTGCGATTTTAGAGAAACTTTTCGTTAGTGTAAAAAATGCAATGGTAACCTTAATTTTTATAACCTTGCTAGTCTTACATATCTGAAATCATTTTATTCATTTGAATATTTACACATTTGCAACATTTACTTGGAACGGAATCTTCTTCTTAACAACTTTATTGAATACAAAATAAATCAACAATAGTATTCTCATTTATAGAATTATAGAGAGAGAAAACTGTCTCATTCTATCTTCGTACCTATTGCCGTAATGAGTTGCTTTTCGCAGAGCTCTCCATTGATTAAGGTTTAATCAAAGACTTTATCCAATAATTTGGCGTAGTTGCAGACTTTTCATCTTTAAATTAAAATGTGAACATTTTATATCAATTGTTAATCATGCAACAGCAGTAGAAAATACCGTCCTTAATCTAAAATCTAAATAGTTTGTCCCTGGAAAAAAAAAATTGAAAATTAAATATTTAAAAAATGTAATCTTGAAATAAATCAATTTTTTCTAGCCTTTAACACCCCCCCGGCCACCAATGAGTGTCCACCAAAAAATGTTAACCCATTCGGTCCAGCCGTTTGGCCGGCTATATGCAGCATATATTATATATATGAATGTCTATGTCTTATTATACAGATTCCCAATTTATAATCTAAAACAAAACGGGCGTCCAATTATTTTTCAGTCACTAAATATTTGTGAAAATGTTTGATGTTGCTTCAAACGGAATAAATAATAAAAAAGTTTTATTTTTATTTCTAAACATTTCCCCAGATTTTTCCCTGAAATTTGACATTATTAACNCAACCTTGAAGAAATATAGAACAAACTACATAGCTAAAACTTCTTCAGGCTTTTCTTTCTCTTTTACTTTAGATAAGAGCGCATGTAGGTTTTTATGAAAAATTATTTTTGCTAATATTGTGGGGAAAATACTAGGACATTAGAAAACATATTTAGAGGCATTTTAAAACCATTCCTACCAAACTATTCAGATTTATTTTATGATGATGGACATGCTATTTTAAAATTATATAATTATAATAATTCTAAAAAAATTGCCATAAACCCGAATGTTTTTTACAAAAAACTGCTCTGATTATAGATCATAATAATACATCAGACAAAACATGAATCAAAAAGTCAAATGAACAAAGAAAGATGAACGCAGTTTGCTTCTGTAGAAAAGTTTAACTTACAACACAGACGTAAAATTGAAAAATCCATTTCTGTTTAAAATTATCATTTAAAAACTCAATCGTAAAACTTTTTTATTTACTATTTTCATGAAATGTTTTTACCCGTCACTTGATAAAAGTTATCTTTCTTCCAGTGAATTGTTTCAATCTTATTTAGACATTGAACAAATATACAAAGTATTTCAATTTCCTTCTGAGACCCCTTTTTTGAGTATGATTAATTTGTAAAAAGCGGGGTCCTCCTTTAATAACATAAGCTTAAAAAGCTATAGCCTGAATGGTGAACAGAAAATTAAAGAAAAATCATAAAAAATATTAAAAATGATGACATGAGACACAACAGAGAACTGCGTCATTTGTATTTTCGTCTGTCATTTGACTAACAATTTAAAAGGATTTATTTTATATTAGTCAAGCAGTGGAAATCAAAATCGCGTAACATTTAAAATTCTAAATGTGTTTAGGCGATTCAATAGTCAGTGTCAGTTTTCTTAAACTAACTATTTATTATCTATCTTCATATTTCACAGTTTTATTTCCTCGTTATCATCTGACACTGTACTATACCCAGGCTAGTATAGGCTAGTTTGCACTCTACGGACGATACTAAACTCAAGAAAGCTCTACAGTTCAGCAGCGCAGTAGAGATATCTATCCTCAAATTAAGGTTTGCAGTTCAGGACGAAATCCAAAGCTGTTGAAGTAAAAAAAAAACGTCGCTCTCAAATGTGAATTCAAGGGATAAAGGAAAAGAGTGGTCGAGTTTTTAAAAACGTGTAAAAAAGCCAGTTAGAAAGACTACATTTAAAAAAAATTTAATTCCAGTGATAAAAACAGTTCTTTACAAAGTGCGCTGTCTGTGCCCTGTGGTTGTAAATGAAAGAATTTGAGAAAAAAGTATATTTCTATATCGGTTGAAGGAAAAATCGTGAAAATTTATTTTCAGTGGCTGAAGGAAAAAACTGTTTTAATTATGAAATAAAATAGCATTTATAATACAACTTACTATTAGAACTTTTATACAAGTACTCAATCCTTTCTAAACTTAACCTAAACTATAGAAAGATATAAAAACATAATAAGAACGGTCTTTTATTTTAGTAGATTCCTGAATAAGTATGACAACTGTTGTTTATTTAGGTAGATTCCTGAACACGTATATTGATGGTCAACACATGCTCTTTCATGTATGAAAGTAGTATAGAAGGGGGGGGGNGGAACACATTTAAATTTTTTTTTCTTATTGAAGAGAAGTATGCAATTATTTATTTATCTCATAGAGAGCTGGAATCTTTAATTAAAAGGAATTGAGTCTTTGCAACAAACTCTGATTCTCTAATCCCTATATTTTGCAATCCATGGCGTACACCTTAGATTTCTATTAGATCAAATTTATTAATTTTGAAATATCAAAGGTTAACACCATCAGGTTGCAAAGATAGATTAGAAAATTATAATTTGTGGTACTAACACATATAAAGATATAAATATACATATAGGGGGGGGGAGGATAATATTACAGAATTACACCATCAAGGAGTATGAGGATGGGAAAACCATTGCTGACTGCTCAAAGATCAAATAAAATATAAATAATTGCTAAGCGTTCTAATCATTCACGAAATGTAAGAAGGATTTAAAGCGAGTGTTCGCGAAAAATGAAAGGGGGTATAAGCTTAATGCGATAAAAAAGCGCTTTTTGTTGCTACTAATCTTACTTCTATCTATAAGGAGAAAATTGTTAAAAAACGACTCACACCGAAGAACGTAGTGTCCATGTACAAATTCAGAAAGATGCAACATTCAACTCGGATCGTAAACAAATCAATTTAAATTCAAACAAATCATTCAGATATTACAAACAATAGTCATAGATTATTTTTCGACGCATTCGTAAATAGTTGATATTTCATAATATTTTGTATTTTTCATGATCTGAGAGTTACATTTATTCCTGTTTCGAGGATTTTTGATAATGAAGGCGACATTTTCATATTTTCCAGGAATGTTCGAAAATCCAGCACAGCGAAGATTATTTTAAAAAACAAAATCCAAAATATTATGAAATATTAACTATATATGAATGCGTCGAAAAAGAATCGATGACTATTGTTTGTAATATCTGAATGATTTGTTTAATTTCCAGCAGAAAAAAATCACTTTTGTAGCGAAACAACAATTGAAAATGATAATTATTTTTATTTATGATTTATATCTAATTCATAATTGATCATACAAATCTTTTAAGGGTACCATTCGGAATCGGACATTCCATTGTTGTGACAATGACAGTATGACAATGGACTATGTAGAACACATTTTACTACAATTTGTTAATTCAGAGCTGAAAACTTTAGAATGGTGGATATCGAGATTAATGCTTGATCCTCTCTTTTTCTTAATTTCGAGACTAACCTAATCTTGTACTTGTATCCTGAAAAGTGTATAAAATTCAACCAATCAGAGTCGCGTATATGAAGCCGATAAATTTAAAATTTTGCGCGCCGTTTAAGATAAATATACAGAAACGGGAGGGAATCTCTTATTTTTTAAAACCGGTTTTTGATTTTAATCTATACTTTATCCAAGAAAAAACGTTTTAAGAAGAAAATCAAAAGTGTGTCCATTTAATATTCAGATTAAGTGATCGTGATGTAGGATATCTTATTCTAAAGTTTTCAGCTCAGAAAACTTATGAAATAAATAAATAAATTTGCTCTGGAAACATTATTAATTCTACATTTTGCATGTCTCAGGAAAAATGCAGTTGATACCAACCCTGTTCAAATTTTCAGATTAAACTTACATTTGAAAATATTTAATAAATAATAAAAGGGACAACAGGCTTAACTTCAAGTGAACCTTCATTTGTAAAGTGGTTTGTTCGATTCACTTTTGATACCGTTGAGTTCTCTAGTCCTTATAGTGTAAATTATGTTTGTTAGCTTTTACATTATCATTCCCATCACAGGAGTACTCAGGGGGGGGGGGGCTGAGCCCTCCTGGATCAGTGAAATCTATTGTTTCCATTTTTTGAGACCCAAAAAGGTGTTATGCAGGTTTTTTGGGCCCCATGGGTGCGGAGCCCCCTGAAAAAAATAAGCCTACCCTGGACTTATTGAGTACGCTCCTGATTTTTAATATTTAACCTTTTATGTTGTTAAACATTATTTTTCCTTATGTTAACCTTTAATGATGGTTTTAAAGTGGTTCTATACTGGTTAACCCTTTATATGAATGGAGTGGAACATTTGGTTAGATTGCATACGTAATAGGATTAGTGATGGGCATCATTTTCAGGTCCGTTTTCAGATATTAACGTTTTTTTACGAACAAAATGCGCAATGTTCAACAAAAAAATGAATTATTACTCACAATGCAAATTTGTATTCTCGATAAGTTTACTTTTTATGTAGTATGTGAATTTTTTCTCTGATAAAAAATATTAACCAAAACGATTTTTCAACACGAAAAACGAAAAACGATTCTACTAATCATTATGAAATTTTGTTTAGTTAATATCTTTGTTCAGAGTAAAATAATGTATTAAAAGCAAACTTGTTCAGCATATCATTTTGAAGTAAGATAATTTAGTGAGGATATTTTTATATTTTTATATTCTTCATTTAATGTGTTTAAAATTAAAAGTCCTTTTGAACTTACACAGACAATTTCATTTATTTTGTATTTAAAAATGTTTACTGAGATTCATGTTTTAAACTAAAACATAAATTTTAGTACCTTTGTTCTTATTCTGCATTTGTATATATACATATTTATGCATATTATATAATATTTTTAACTTTTTCAGTTTAAATATCCATTTTAAATGTTTATTTTCTTTTCTTTATTTAATATTATAATTTATTCATATATATTACATGCAAGATTGTCAAAAACATAGTACTACTCAGCTAGCTTCATAATAAATTAAGATTATTACAATGAAACACAAAATAATAGATTATCTAAGAATTTAGAATAAACAGGTTTTTTTTCAGTCTGACCCAAACCACACAGAGTCTATTTCTGGCCATTGATCACCACGATTCCTCTCTAACATTAACTTTTCGTTGTGGAAGGGTTGGCGTGGTTTTGTTTGAGTGTAATCCAATGTGGAATCATGGTGTGACGGTATTGGATATGATTGAACATTAACGTCTTTACGGTTTTCATTCTCAACCTGGAACGGATATAAGCTGCTGGGTCGGTCTAGAATGCTGCTTAGTTGGTTTCCAATGCTGCTGGGTTGGTCTAAAATGCTGCTTAGTTGGTTCGCACTGCCGCTGGGTTGGTCTAGAAGGCTGCTTAGTTGGTTCCCAATGCTGCTGGGTTGATTCACAGTTCTACCTGAGCCAAGCTGCTTGGCTTGTTTACAATGCTGCTCGGACGGTTTGCAAAGCTGCTTGGTTTGTTGGTTACCGATGCTGCTTGGTTGATATACAAAGCTGCTTGGCTGGTTTGCAATGCTGCTTGGTTGCTTAGAAAAGCTGCTTGGCTGTTTTACAAAGCTGTTTTGTTGGTATGCAGGGTTACTTTGTTGGTTTACGAAGCTTCTTGGCTGGTTTGAAAAGCTGCTTAGTTGGTTCACGATGCTGCTTGGTTGATTTGCAAAGCTGCTTGGTTGGTTTACGAAGCTGCTTGGATGGTTTACAATGCTGCTATGGTGGTTGTTTTTAAGACTGCTGGGTTGGGGTAGAACACTGTTATCACTGAAGTAAACAGAATCAAAATCTCTGCTGACAGGTGCAGTATTAAGAGGCATCCTGGTTTTCCTAGATAAATTAAAACAAAATTAAAACCTTTAAAATGTTTTATGCAAAACCATGAAAACCATGCAAGTAAATACATGTTGCTACTTATTTACCTCAAAAATCCCACTTTTTAAATGTTAAAAAAAATTATTTATAAAGAATTACTTTTGCAAATTTTCTTGCGAAAGTGTTCAATTTGCGCAAAGCAAATCATCAAAATTATCTTCAGGTAGGTGTTTTTTTTCATCAAAGAAATTAATACAGAATAAATTTGAGGCACCTGGTATCAGGGTGTGTGATAGACCCAAATCTGGCAAGATTTAATCCAATCTCAGGACTGAGTATGATCGTTTTACCCAGGGTGTAGGTTGGAGCAGGTATATGGAAATTATCCTGCTTAAAAATATATTTATTAATTCAAACTTGAAGTTAAAACTCTGACGTATATTTATTCATAGACTTGGAAGAAATAAAAGCTTACCATTTGGTTGAAGTTGAAGAAATCCGATATTTTTAGATCTTTCAAATCTTCTTTAAAATCAGGCTGGTTTGGTAGAATGCCGTCCAGGACTAGATACTCTACTGGGTTCAGATTCTCCAGGTCCGGATTCTCGAGGTTGAAGTTCTCTAGGTCAACATTATCCAGGTTCAGATTCTGTAGGTCCGAATTCTCCAGGTTCAGATTCCCAAGAGCCGGATTTTCCTGGTTTACATTTCCCAAGTAAACATTCTCCAGGTTAAGATTTTCCAGGTTCTCTTTCTCTAAAATTTCTGCCTTATAAACCTGATTTTTTAAGGTTGGCTTCAGCTCCCGGTATTTCAGATTATAGAGCACCTGAACAAACGAAAACAAATATTTAGATTATTATTAGAATAAGGGACCATAGAATTTTTAGAATTGTCATCTATATATAAATTTGGCTTGTCTGTCTGTTTGTTTGTTTGTTTGTTTGTATCCAATAAACGTCAAAACGGCTGAACCGATCGGGCCAAAATTTTTTGTGGGACATCTAGGGACCCCAGGGAAGGTTTATGAAAAATCAAAATTTCAAATATTTGTCTCCATCAAAATTCAATCTTCATTAAATTTTTAAAAATTTTGAAAATCCGCGAAATTTTTTGTGAAAATCCGCGAATTATTTTTGTTTTGTTTTACGATGTACACAAAGAGAACATGTTCACAATTAATTTAGAAGATGGGCGCGAAGCGCCCTAAAAGCCTAGAAAGAAGGGCGCGAAGCGCCTTGAATTTCTAGTATCAATAGAATTAAATAGAAAATAAACAAAACAGGTGAATATGCGGGAAATAATTATTAAAAACAACAAAGTGTACAAAATATTCCTTTGGTAGAACATTTTTGTAATTATCTGCTCCGGAACAAATAAGAAATGTGTAATCCCAGAACCTGAAGCTTAAGACAGATTGTCATAATGAAACCCAGTATTGGAAACCTTGTTTCATGAATGGGGTTAGGCAGTTTTGAAGAAAGAGATATTATCTTTTTGTTTTCTAATTCCTTGAGTTAAAATCTTTGCAAATGTATAGACCCCAGAAAAGAAACTCGGGAGTTTCTTTCCTTGATACTCTCTTAAGTTTGCGGATCAGAGATAGGAACTTAAGCACAGTTAATATTTTCAGAAAGCCCTATAACTCATGCTCTGTGATTAGCACAGATTAACTTGGTTTGGTTCGTAAATCTGTTCTCGGTCAATGAGAAATTCTGAATACGAAGATATATATAGATAAATATATTAGAGCTATATATATACAACACTAATCTTATTATTCGTATTAAAGGAATTGAGTCTTTGCCACAAACTCTGATTTTCTAATCCCAATATCCTTGCAACCCAATGTCGTAGACCCTTGACATTTCAAACTATGAATTCTGTTAGATCAAGTAATCTGAGTTTGAAATATCAAAGGTTTACAACATCGAGTTCTAAAGATATTGTGGTTTAAATATTTGATTTTGTTCCAAAGACTCAATTCCTTTCGATTTACATTCAACAAAGTTTTGTTATCATTTAGACATAGGAATAGACGTTTTTTTTCTTTAAAATTTCCTTTTATTTTGTTTCCGGTAATAATTCAATCTTTATTACGTTCGTGCTAGAAAATGTAAGACCCGTAAAATAGTTTTAAATCAAGGATATTTATATTGGTCTTGAAATATTGAGAATAAAATAATAATAAGAAAATAAAGATATGAAAAGATTCATAAAGTGTAAAGACTTAATTGATATTTTTATGAATCTAATCTATAAACTAATTGTTTCTTCAGAATTTGATTAAATCAAGTATAGATGTTCTCTGAATATTTGTATTAAACAGACTGTTAGCGAAATTCAAAATGACCATGCCTGTAGAAGAGAACCATCAACCAATCACAAATATACCCTTTAATATTTATCCAGGTATTGATGACCGAAATATCTTTGTTTTCTAAACATAAAAAAGTTTCTCTCAGATAATTTCCCCAAGTAATTTTGAGATGTAGCAAGGACAGGCAGAAAAATGGCTGATTTTGTTTTATTTTTTAAAAAATCCCATTATTGTATATTGTTTACATTTATATTTCCTAGATTGAGTTTTCTCGAATTTTCAATGCGGTTCAAAAATTCATTTAATCGTGTAAAATGTAAACCAAATACACAGTCTATATACTCTCCAACTAACGTGAAGTACCGGCTTATTACTTGAAAATATTTGAATTTATGTTTAATGTTGTTCATCAGCTAATGTGAAGTGGGGGACACGAAATTCGACAAACAAAAAACCAATATCTACACGTAAACTATGTCTCGTCTAAAAAGGAAGTTAAGAAAAGAATGGACCACGAAACTTAGCTTTTGAGCATAAAAAATATTAGGTCAGAATAACTTTAAGCTTTATAAAAGGGAGTGTTCGCGAAAAATGAAAGGGGGAATAGACTTATGTCGAAAAATATTCGATGGTGATTGCTACTAATCTTACTTCTATCTGTTTCATCTATAAGGAGAAAATTATTAAAAATGACTCATACCGAAGAACGTAGGTCCATACAAATTTAGAAAGTTGCAATATTCGACTCGGATCGTTAAAAATCAATTAAATTCCGGACAAATCATTCAGATATTACAAATCATCAATTTTTTTCGAAGCATTTGTATAAAGTTAATATTTCATAATATTTTTGAGGTAATATTAATAGCGATCACCATCGAATATTTTTCGGCGTAAGCCTATACTCCCTTTAATTTTTCGCGAATACTCCCTTTTTTGAAAAAGTAAATTTTTGATGTACAGCCTTATAACATGCATAAAAAGTTCACAAAAAACTGCAAAACACCGTGATATATTGATTTTATACATATTATCAGATTTTGTTGGTTATTGATCAATATTTGTAAAACAATAAATAAGATGCTTTGATTTTATCTAATAATGTATGTCTAATGAAATGTCAAAATACAGAATGCAATGGTAAACACAATATCAAGAACTCTAGAAAATACAGAATGCAATGGTTAAAAATGTTTAAAGAATTTCTTGTTCAAGGGATTGCCGACGTAATTTAATGTGACAACAATGAAAGATATCTTCGTTTTTCCATCTAAAAAAGAGTTAAGTTCTGACAAATTCCTTCGTTGTATGTGTATCATTATGAATCGGGTATTCGAAATGAGGGTCACTTGAAATTACGTCTCTTGAACTAGGTCCGGACCAAGTGTAGAAACTTAGAAAATTATCCCAAAATAATTTTGATAATTAGGATTTGGAAAAAAATGAAAGAAAAAACTAAAACCTTAGAGTGTGAGATGAAAACTGTAGAGAGAAGTATGACTAGGCTTAAAACCATGATTGAACTAGGTCTCTTTATGATTAAACCATACTTTATATATTTTACTGCTCGGAGACCAGAGGAACAGAGAAGGAAAATAATTAATAGGACAACAGTTTCTCCAGGGGTAATTTCAAATAAGATTTATTTAAACCTAAAGGGACTCTTGTTGTTATTTTCAAATAAGATTATTTAATCCTAGAGGGACTCCTGTTGTTATTTTCAAATAAGATTTATTTAAACCTAGAGGGACTCTTGTTGTTATTTTCAAATAAGATTTATTTAAACCTAGAGGGATTCTTGTTGTTATTTTCAAATAAGATTTATTTAAACCTAGAGTGACCCTTGTTGTTATTTTCAAATAAGATCTATTTAAACCTAGAGGGACTCTTGTTGTTATTTTCAAATAAGATTTATTTATTCCTAGAGGGACTCTTGTTGTTATTTTCAAATAAGATTTATTTAATCCTAGAGGGACTCTTGTTGTTATTTTCAAATAAGATTTATTTATTCCTAGAGGGACTCTTGTTGTTATTTTCAAATAAGATTTATTTAATCCTAGAGGGACCCTTGTTGTTATTTTCAAATAAGATTTATTTAAACCTAAAGGGACTCTTGTTATTTTCAAATAAGATTTTATTTAAACCTTGATGGTCTCCTGTTGTTATTTTCAAATAAGATTTATTTAAACCTAGAGGGACTCTTGTTGTTATTTTCAAATAAGATTTATTTAAACCTAAAGGGACTCTTGTTATTTTCAAATAATTTTATTTAAACCTTGATGGTCTCCTGTTGTTATTTTCAAATAAGATTTATTTAAACCTAGAGGGACTCTTGTTGTTATTTTCAAATAAGATTTATTTAATCCTAGAGGGACTCCTGTTGTTATATTTCAAAAAATCTTCCATTTAAAGAGGGCCTTGGCTTTTTTCAACTGATCAATAATGTGAGATTAATAATGTCGACGATATTGTCTTGTGTTACTTTGAAAAGTATTTAATTTCTTCCATTGTCACTTTCTTAAAAAACCATATTAAAAATAGTCAATTTTTTAGGATGAATCAGTGATATATCATCTAGTCTTGATCTGAGAATGTTTTTAAGGTATCTGTTGTGAATATTTAAAGCATTGTCTGCGCAATTTTAAATCATCTTTCATGTGAAGAATAAGAAAGAATAAGAAATCTCAATTGTATTTTACGAATTGATGCATTTAAATTTGTTTATAAAGTGTGCTAGGAGTTAGTTATTTTTATGTTCGATTTCCATTTTCCCCTCGTGCAAGATTAATAAATTGAAAATGAATGAATGGATTGGGGGGGGGGGGGCATACCAAATTTAGCTATTAAAAAGGATTTTACTACTTTTAATCCTACTCCTGCAGTCCCTGCAGGACCTCCCCCCCCCTTGAGTAAATTTAGCTTTTGATAAAAAATATCAGATTTTAATTTGATAACACATGGAAATCTATCAGTTACAAGGAGTCTGCGAGAATATAATTTTGAAAGAGGTCACTTACTACTGTTGCTAACTTGCAATTTTCTTTAATATCGTTTGCAGAAAATGAAATAAATTCCTAGTAATAGTATTCAGCCGAGTAAAAAAATTATTGTTTACATAAAGTGCAAAAATATTGCACTTGTATACAATTACAGGTCATGTATATAGTTCACATGTGATAAAATCGAAAAATTTTATGTTTTAGCTTTGATAAAAAGCACTTTGCTTTAGATTTGTTGTTGTTGTTGAATTAAATATGGGTGAAGAAAATCATGGGAAACCTTTTGGTTTTTGTGGATGTTTTAAAGCAAGAACAGGAGCCATTGTCACGGCAGTTTTAAGCATGGTAGGTAAAAATGGGTTTCAGTATTCAAACTACTGTTCCCAGTATGATTCTTAAAACAATGATAGAAAAATTGCCCTATTTCTGGTTTTTCCAAATTGTAGTCTGTCTAGATTATCTGCCTAGATTATCTAGATTATCTAGATTATCTGCCTAGATTATCTAGATTATCTAGATTATCTGCCTAGATTATCTAGATTATCTAGATTATCTAGATTATCTAGATTTTATGCCTAGATTATCTATATTATCTGCCTAGATTATCTAGATAATCTAGATTATCTAGATTATCTAGATTATCTTTGAAATGTGAACTAATTAAAAACCAACATTTTCATTATTTGAACGAAGTTCTTTATATCTTCGGTAATTTTTTAAATGCCAGAACTAGGGGGGGTTTGTGACTATATGTCTCAAGAAATTTATTTTAAAATGAATGACGAATGAATGCCGCAGATTCGTTAATCGTTACTTTCAAATCGTCTGTTATATTTTGTGGTAAATCTGACTTGAATTTGTTCAGCTGTTTTCAAGTGTAATATTGTTATACTGTATGATGGTAGGGAGTGGATTACCCTTAGCATCTGAAAACCTTAGGTAATACATACAGAGGGACCCATAAAACTATTGAATAAGAAGACGATATTTAAAAAATTTTATGTATCTTATAAAGCTGATAATTTGCTTAAAACCAACTTATTAAGTGAAATGTCTGTGTACAATGTACAATTTCATGTTTTTTTTAAACATTTAAAATCATTAACTTAAGCTTAACAGTCGTCTTTCTATTCCACAGTTTTATAGGTTTCATAGCACATTAATAATTCTAACAATAATTTTCTATTTTTTAATCTAATATTTAGGTCGGAAATATCCTCCCTGGGATTTGATTTAAATAATTTCGAAGAAGAAGTTCAAACAAAAGGTAAAATTAATCTTTTAATTTGAATATTCTTTAAAAAAAGCAGTTTCTAATCGATGTGTTTTTTCATCTTACCTGTTAACCTGTATGTCCTAAAACTGAACTGTTCTGAAGATGATACTTTTACATTAATTGAGTTTTTGCCACAAACTCAAATCTTCTGATCCCAATATCATTGCAATCTGATGGTACAAACCTTTGATATTTCAAACTTTGATTATTTTATCTAAAAGTATTAATAGTTTGAAATATCTAAGGTCTACGACATTGGGTTACAAAGATATAGAAATTAGAAAATCAGAGTTTGTGGCAAAAACTCAATTCCTTCAGACTGATATGGAAAGTCAATTTTAAAAACTGGGTCAACTTTTAGGTGTAAAAACACCTTAGCCTTTAATTTTGCCTTAATAACTTACTTAAATTTTGCTATAGCACATTTAATCACATTTGGCAAAAGATCTTCCAATTTTGATCATACCTCTTTGATTAGAGAACTGAACTCGATATTCATCGTAGGAAATTTTAAAGCCTGGAATTATTAAATCTAAAAGTTTCATGTTTATTTCTGACATAAATGAGGGATCTAAAATTTAAAGCTTAATCTTCGATAAGCGCGTCTTAACACCAAAATTAAGCAAAAGGTTTAAGATACAAAAATTTTGCTATGCGTCACACCTAGATATTAAACATTTTAGATCCTTCGACACTCCTCTTTACCAATAATGATAAAAAACTGGTTTTTCATTTACATAAATAAAGAAGATTTTTTTTATGAACAATTTTTAAAAACTTATGGGATTGCTAGATTCATAGGCGTAGAGCCTCTGAGCATTTTTCCAATGCTCAGACTTTTAAACTTTATTGTAAATTTTTTTTTAAACACTAGGACAATATGTCAGAACATTTTTTTTGCAAAATGAGAAGATGAACATTCTTTTTCAAACTTCTTCTTCAAAATGTGCCAAATTCTTTTGAATATTTACTTTTTATTCTCCTAACAAATATGTAAACAATAAACAAAGTTTATTTAATCACAATATTTATTTCAGTGTACAATTATGTATTGACGGGGATTGTACTGTCTAGTTTAGTCTACTTCATTTCTGGTGCACTTCTCTACACTGGAGCTAAAAATGTACGTTTAAAGGGACTGTATCACGGTGGACTAAGCCAGTGGGGTCGGTCAAATAGGCCTAGGATTAGGCCGGGTACTGTAAAAAGTCTGAACGCGCCACTGGAGTTGTCTTCGTTAGCACCTCGCACGGGACTATGCCAAGAAAATTGACCCCTGTCGTATGTTAGTCTGGTTAGGGCGACGTACTGTACCATAGGATCGGGTCAGTAAACGCTGTTATCTGGCAGGCCGGTACATACTGTACAGGTCCTGTTCAAATTCAAATTTACTACGGGGATAGAGTGGTATAGAGTGAACTTGTCTGATGAACAACGGTTCCCTTTAAATCTTTGTTTTATCATGAATGACGTGCACTTGGCTGAAAATTGAGTGCTGGAAAACTGTGATCTTGGGAGACTTAAACGTGCTGGGTGGACTCTTCACGGGTAGCCCATACTGGACGGTACGACTAAATGTATATACAGTACATGTTGTACCGGCTCTGGTTTCCCGGCATCTATGATCAGACAAAGATTTAATAAAGTGAATAAAACATGCAGTTAAAAATAGTTTATTTGAAATTATCGCAATTCCGTGTATACAGTCTCTTTAATGTTAAAAATATTAAAAAAATGTGCTTCATCATGATGTTTTTAATCAAACTAAAATTGAGACTTTAATGAAAGATTTGATGAAAAAATAAATTCTAATTTTGGTTTTCATAATGGCTTACAGTATGATAGAACCAAGGTAGGTTAATAACTATAATATTTTCAAACAAAAATACATTTTTTAATTATAATTATAATTTTTCACTTTGCTAACACAATATTTTCTTTACCATCAAATAGGTTGTTAGAAACTTCTTTTTTTTCGTAAAAACCTAGACATGTTTAATAACCAAATACACGTGTTGCAGGCCAAAACTGGTTGGATGGTTCCCTGGCAAATACTGACAATTTTTGGAATAACTTTCGTTTGCTTGAAGTTCTACTGGAAAATAAACTCCAAGGTTATGATAATACAGTTTTAAATTTGAAAGAACTCCGAAGTGACGTCATGTTTTTATGTGAAGGAATTTTCCAAACAGGAGCTTTTTGTACTGAATGCTAAAAATAAACTATCTAATGATGATAGGTTAGGGCCGACAACCAAATTCATGATTTCTGGAAGAGATTGTACATTTACAGAATTATCCAGAAATTAATGGAATGTTTTATTATTAAATGTTGTCAAGAGTTTTGCAATTTGTAACTCAATTGTTTCTATACAGTTTTTATACAGTGCTAGGCGATTATATCAATACAATGAAGACGACATTCGAATTCATTTTGAGTTATATCAAACTGTTTAACAGCATGGATACACATATAAATAAAAGTGAAGAGAAGCTGTCAATTAAAAAAAGCTTCTCTTTGATTACTTGTAATCAAAACTTGTAAAAAAGTTGTATTTATTGTATTAATAAAATTGCCTACCAATGTACGAATTTCTGTTATATTATTTACAAATAAAAAATTTCTTATAATCGAAAAAATGAAGGAATACGACAATCACTCCATAGTTTTCTGCTTACTACCACACGTAGGGATTGTAACGTAATCCATGTTACTTCAATAAAATAGCGACATCCACGATTATCAAAATTTATTTTAAAAGGCGACCATTATCCGTCATTTCCTCAGGGTCATGGAGGAATACATTCACTTTGGCTCATACCCNCCCCCCCGAAAAATACAATGTGCTAAATGAATTTGTTGAAAAATAATCAAACTGTACACTAATCGGATCGAATTTTTTTTTTTTGCAAAAAAGTTGTTTTAATCAAAGATTAACAAAACCAAGAGTGTTCTTTACTTATGTTTCTGGGCTGGTATATTTTCACTGACGAATTTACCAGCGTACTGCTTATGTTACTTGGCTGGTATATTTTCACTGACGAATTTACCAGCGTACTGCTTATGTTTCTGGGCTGGTATATTTTCACTGACGAATTTACCAGCGTACTGCTTATTTCGGATAAATGTCCTGAGTCCTGACGGGAATATAGGAGTAACTATTTTTCTGGTAACAAATGAATTTGATTTCATTATTTTTTTATTGTCTCTACAAAATAAAAATTGGTAACGATGTTCACCCAAAGTTTTCATCATCATTACTTGGGGCCTTAAATAGAAAAACATTAAATAAAAATATATTTCATAGATACAACATAGATAATCGGACATATATAAGACATTACGTGTTTTCGTCAATAACTCAAAAAGCATTAAATTTACGGAATTGTTTATTTCAAATGTATATGCCAACAAAAATTTACCTAAGAAAAAGGCTATAAAATAATGTATAAAGGGTCAAATTGTTATCGAAAGTGACAGCTTTCTGAAATATTGACAGAACCGTTAAATCTACGTGATATATATACCAATGCCATCAGAAACTTTTTTTAGGTGGGTTTAAGCAGTTTCGATTTATTTGAGTTCCTGGCAGCAGTTCTAGTTGGAGGATACTTATCCATTGTAGTGCAATCTTGGAGGTAAACATTAGAGAACAGTTTTCAAGTGTTCATGCAACCCTCTATGCAAAGATGACAATGTCCGATTGACATTGTACCCTAAAAGCTTAATCTGCAATCAAGTATGAATTATATATCAATCTTTATAATTTTGATTATTTTCAATTGTGACCTCCGCATTTCTACTGCAGGAAAGCAAATAAAAATTATCAGAATTGTCACTTTTAAACCTTGAGAAACGACCAAACGAAAGATTGCAATTGAGAATTAGGCATTACTATCTTTGCATGAAGGACCACTTGAAATTATGCTTACAGTCCCTTTAAAGGGAGTGACCGGCAATGTAGTATTGTGGTGGAGAAATTTTTTAGGATTCATTTGAGACATTTCGTTCGTTTTTAAGGTTCACATTTGTTCAGCAAGAGTGCAAATTCAATCTTTAAAATCCTCATAGATTGTCCATTTTAGAGAGATGATTTTGAGCATCGAGTTTTTAAAAATTATTTAATAAAGACGACGAAAAATGTAACAAAGATTCTACAGTAAACAAATTTGTTGTTTAGGCACAGGTCGAGAAATTAAGTAATCTTATTTAGTTATTGGTTTCTGTGTTGTCTCATTGTTCTTTAATACTTTCTGTGGATTTCCTTGAATTTTTATTGAAAAGACGATATTTGAAGAATTTGATTAAATCTGCGAACAAATTTGTAGAAAAAAAGAAATTCAATATAATGATGAAAAAGAAATAATTGATTCTAACATTGATCTATTCACATTGTAATTATACATCATTAACACGTTTTATATGTCTCAAATGAATCCAAACAATTTCTCCACAATACTAACTTCTCAATCCAACCATACATTTCCGACCACTCTCCTTCAAGCAGTTCTTAAATGATATTGAAACTCCATGTACTCTAAAATCAGAAACACATCTCATTTCAAATATGTAAAATGGCTGTTAAAGGATTAAGATTTGTTTAATTTTTTATTAGAATGAACACTAATGTTTCTCGTAACTTTAAAGGGAGTGTTCGCGAAAAATGAAAGGGGGTATAGGCTTAATGCGATAAAAAAGCGCTTTTGATTGCTACTAATCTTACTTCTATCTGTTGCGTCTATAAGGAGAAACTTGTTAAAGACGTCTCATACCGAATAACTTGGCGCCCATACAAATTCAGAAAATTGCAACACATCACTTAGACCGTAAAAAAATCAATTTAATTTCAAACAAACTATTTAGATATTACAACCTATAGTCATCGATTATCTTTCGCCACATTTGTATATAGTTTATATTTTATAATATTTTTTAATTAATTTGTTTTGAATTTGATTATTTCTCTTGCGGCTTGCGCAACTATCTAAGAATGCCGCGGACCACTCACATTTTTCGAAATCAGTTAAAACGTTTTCTAAAAAAATAAAATATTATAAAATATAAACTATATACAAATGTGGCGAAAGATAATCGATGACTATAGGTTGTAATATCTAAATGATTTGTTTGAAATTAAATAGATTTTTTACGGTCTAAGTCGTATGATGCAATTTTCTGAATTTGTATGGGCGCTAAGTTATTCGGTATGAGACGTCTTTAACAATTTTCTCCTTATAGTTGCAACAGATAGAAGTAAAATTAGTAGCGATCAAAAGTGCTTTTTTATCGCATTAAGCCTATACCCCCTTTCATTTTTCGCGAACACTCCCTTTAAAGTATAATATCTCGCTCCCATTTTTACTGTGAATAAATATTTTTGAAAGCACTCCAATCCTCTTTATACATTTCATATAAATATACGTATTGTACGTACAAATAAAAAATTAGATATAAAATGTATCGAACCGTATATTCATATATAGATACAAATAAATACTATTCTTGGATTGGAACTAAATATTTGACCAAAAGTTTGGAAGAACCAGCATAAAATAAAAATGGCGTGGGTTAAGTTAAAACCCACAGATTAATTTCAAGTAAATATCGAGTATGAAATATTCCACTCATTCGAAATAAAAAATTTCTTCTGATATCTTTTTAAGTTAAAACCAGCAAAATTTCTAAAAAAACGCAAACAAAAATAAGAAACCATAAATTAAAAAAAAAATCATAATAAAATTTTTTTAACAAGAAATATAAATTTGATGAAACTTGTAAACTCACACCTGGTTGACGGATTCTTTTTTTTAATTTGCGCACTGTCTATTGAATTTTCTATTTTATAAGAAATCAGTTGATGATGGGAGATGATCCGGATAAACAGAATGTCACCTCAGTGGATGTAGATGTGCATGAGGTATTTCAAAAGAACATAGAATTTTTTAAGATTGGTTACATACAGTGAGAACCAGAAAAATGTGAAAAATGCCTATTTTCTTCCTTTGTGTCATGGAATTTCTCTAAAAATTTATTAATTTCCTAAAATTACCCTGAGCATTCTAAGATATATATTAGCATAAATTAATTGTAAACTACAGAGTTCTCTGTGACATTTCTTAAGATAAAGCAAGAAAAAAACACTCCCCCCCACTATAAAATATGTTAGTAGCGTCTTGGTTAGATAAACCCTACCATTGATAGAGTGACCTGTTCAATTAACGACGGTAACTAAAATGTATCAATTAAAAATCCATGTGTTTGTCCTTAAAACTTGGTAATTTCACTTATGGTTTCTCTGCCAAAGTGACTTAAAATGTTCGGTATTTTCGAGTAAGTAACATCAGTTTTATAGCGTATTTGTAGTTTATATTATAACGCTATAGCGTACACTCCGGTTTTACGGGAATTCAAACAATATTTGAGAGATAAACATGTGTGCATAAATTCTCTGTCCTTAACAGTCAAATTGGTTTCGAAAATTGGGCATTGCCATCTTTACACATGAAGGGTTACTTGAAATTACTCTTACAGTCTTATACGTATACTTATTTTAAAGATAGAAAAACGACGATATTATATCTTCCACATTTTTGATCGGAAAATTCCTTCTTTTTTAATCGAGGGTCACTTGAAATCACATTAACAGTTACTTTAAAGAATATGTTTTAATGCGTTATCAATTACGAATAAATATGTTCAATTTACTTTAATTTAATTACTTCCAAAAACCACAAATACGGGAAATACTCTTAAATATTAATATATTTGATTAAATCTATAAGTAGATACAAATATTTATAATTTGTATGGCTCCATTTTCAATGCCTTATTACTGTGAAAAAATGACGTATTCTTTTCTTTACTTAAACTTATAATGTGAATAAAATTCTTGTTAATGTTAATAACATGATTGTATATTAATCAGGCTGTAGCTGTAACCTGCATTTGCTGCAACTGTTTCAGAACTGGAAGAAGAAGAAATAGAAGTGTTTTAGACAGGTATAGACAGGTTAAAATAGATGAAAACATGTATAGACAGGTATAAACAGGTATAGACAGGTATAGACAGGTGTAGACAGGCGTAGACAGGTATATACAGGTATAGACAGGTATAGACAGGTATAGACAGTTTTAGACAGGTATGACAGGTATAGACAGGTATAGATAGGTATATACAGGTGGATACAGGTATAGACAGGTATAGACAGGTTTATACAGGTATAGACAGGTATAGACATTTATAAACAGGTATACACAGGTATAGACAGGTATAGACAGGTATAGACAGGTATAGACAGGTATAGACAGGTATAGACAGGTATAGACAGGTATAGACAGGTATAGACAAGTGTAGACAGGTATAGATAGGTATAAACAGGTATATACAGGTATATACAGGTATAGACAGATTTAGGCAGGTATAGACAGATATAGACCAAAGTGATAAACTACTAAAGTGGGCCAAACTCATAGTTGGATGACGACATTTTATGTCCCAAGTACAGGATGTCCCACGAAACATGACAGTATGCAGGACGACTTGAATGTCGTCTTGATTTTTGATATAATTTGCTGCGTTAATTTGTCAACCTAATTTTAGAAGTAAATTTCTAGAGATAATAATCACAAAATTTCCCTTGTCCTGCCATTTCCAAAATGTGGTCTGCCTTTTTTGTCCCAGGAAGGGCTTACATTTCTTTTTCTTTTTAGAGGGGGGGGGGGCAAAACAAAACTAAGCAATTTTAAAGATAAATTCTTATAGAATTAGAAGTGAAAGCCTGCCAGGCAAAATCATTGAATTTATTAAGCGACTACATAGTGTTTGCATATAAAACACATACAAACATACGAAAATTTTTACTTTACATGGGTCTTTAATCTATTTTTCTTGTCTTTACTTTCCAAAAGAAATTTTTTCATGCATTTTTTTCCAAACCAAATAAAACCTTATGGCCCAACCTGTCGTTGTTGCCTTATTATGTTCCACTTTAGTATCTATTCATTTTGGATATACAGGTATATACAGAAATATACAGGTATAGACAAGTATAGACAGGTATAGACAGAAATATACAGGTATAGACAGGTATATACAGGCATAAACAGGTGTAGACAAGTATAGACAGGTATAGACAGGTATATAAAGGTATAGACAGGTATATACAGGTATAGACAGGTATATACAGGCATAAACAGGTGTAGACAAGTATAGACAGGTATAGACAGGTATATAAAGGTATAGACAGGTATATACAGGCATAAACAGGTGTAGACAGGTATAGACAGGTATAGACAGGTATAGACAGGTATAGACAGTTATAGACAGGTATAGACAGTTACTGGGCTTTTAGGGCACTTCTAATTTAATTGTGAACATTTTCTCATTGTAACATTGCAAAACAAAGAAAACAAATTTCGCAGATTTAAAAAAGATTGGCGGATTTTCAAGATTTTAAAGTTTTTTACATAAATAAAAACCTTTTGAGCACAATTATTTAAAAAATTTTATCATTAATAAACCTTCCGTGGGGTCACGCAAAATCCCACAAAAAATTTGGGCCCGATCGGTTCAGCCGTTCTGACGTTTATTGGATACAAACAAACAGACAAACACGCCAAATTTATATATAGGGAGACAGGTATAGACAGTTATAGACGGGTATTGATAGGTATAGACAGGTATGGGCAGGTATAGACAGGTATAGACAGGTTTAGACAGGTATAGACTGGTATAGACAGGTATAGACTGGTATAGACTGGTATAGACATCTAAAAATATGTATAGAAAGGTAAAGAAAGGTAAATCCAGTTTCACAAATTTATTGCTTTCAATTTTGCGACGGTCCCACAACATTCTAGGAATTTTTATTATTTTGAAAGCTATTATTATCTATAATAGATATGATTGCATACTTATTTATTTTAGGAAACAGAGGATGCATGAATCCTTTATACAAATATGTGCATAACATGCGCATATCAATTTTGAAAAAAATTTATCCATTAAATTTCCCTTTTTTCCATAAATACTAGTCCTGGCAAATTATCAGAAATGGAGAATTAGTTTCAGCTAAATTTCAATTTTAACCTTTCAAAAATATTTGTTTTTCTTTTAATAAAGGCAGAATACAAACTACGTTGTTATGGAGGAACTGTGTTCTGTTCTGATATATTTATTCTTTTTCTTATAAACATTTAATAAATATTTTTTCTCTTATTTACGTTATAATTTTTCTCTCGTCGGTGGAGGGTGGCACAGTGGGTGTTAGGGGGGGGGGAGGGGTCAAATAAAAAGATTTTATTCATTAAACGTCTTATTCCTGTCAAATAAGACTAGCTTGCATGTCAAATAAGATAAAATGCTCTTAAATCTGACCGAAAATTCTTAAATGAGCTTTCTTACGAGGTCCTATGAGACGTGATATCTTCCTTTTTTGTGAAACATCCCTGCAGGGAGACCAGCGAAACATAACAGTAAAGAGACCACTTAAAGTTCGTCCTTGATATTTGAAATAATTTTCGGCATTCTTTTTTCAACAGAATTTTACAAAGAACGTTCTTTAAACACAAATCACAAAATTCCCTCAGCTTTAGCATTTCAAAAATAAATTTTGCTTTTTTGGAAGATAAAAATCGTTCAGAGCTCAGTTGATTACAAAAATTTGAAATTATTTAAAAGGTCGAAGAGGATTTTAAAATTCTTACTTTATGTTTCTTAGAATACCCTGTATTCAGTATATTTCAGATTTAGCTTTGTTCTTCGAACCTTTTGGGACTTTTTTGGAGGTGTGCCGGTCAACTCTCTGCATGGCAAGCAAGCAGTATAGTTTGAAGGCAGATTATATTAAGATCAAGTATAATGTAAATATAAATAAAGAATAGTGAAACCAGTGCAACCAGAAATGAACAAACACACGACAACTACCAAATCTGCACTTCGAAAATCTATTTATGTTAATCTTTGTTTATTTAATTGTATGTCCGATTATAACTCTTCAGACCGATTTGCCTCACATTTTGATAGGGAACTAGGTTGAACTACAGCTATGTTTTTAAGCTTGGTTTTTAAGTTCTGAGTAGATCAGAATGACTTTCATTAAAAAAACTTAAGTTCCAGGCAGAGATGAGTTCCCATTTCCAAGCTATAAGTGTTTAATGATTTTATATTAATTATGTTTATTTCGTTTTCCTTTCATACATAATATCATGAGTATGAGTGAGGATTAGAATAGTTTAATATTACCCAAACAAAACCCTCCAAAAAACATTTGAAAAAGTTCGACTTCTTAAACTAAACTTCTAACTTCTAACTTAAACTAAACAAAACTAAACTAAACTGAATTCTATAGATTTCAAAACGACTTCGTTTTTTCAATAAAATTGAAACAGATCTTCTAAAATTTTTTAGGCGCCTATAATTCACGAAACAAAGCATCCAATTATAAAATTGACACTCATTTTCAAGCAAACTACTCATTTTATTACAGGGTGTCCCACGAAACATGACAATTGGTGAATAATTTAAAATGTCTTCTATCATAATTTGCTAAGCTGTTTGATACCAAAGATGATGATAAGAAATACTAAAGGGCAGTAATATTATAATAAAATTGATTTCAAACAAAATGTCTAAAATAACTAAAACAGTATCATGGAAGAAGACATTAGAAACTATTCACCAACTGTCATGTTTCGTGGAACACCCTGTATTTATCAATGCGCTGTAAGCCTAATTCCCATGTTGTTATAATTCTAAAATATAAAAATCTATTCAAGGATGATTTATTTTTAGATTAATCCATGAATTTCAAGGATAATATTTTTAAAACTTTTCCTCTTTTTCAGAATCTTCGGGGGGAAATAATTCAAATTTCTAAACTTCTTTATAATTTATTGTCCCCCTGTGCATGTCATCACAAATGACATCACGAAATGGTATTTGCGGCATGCGCTTTTACCTCTATATAGACCTATGCACCCGGCATAAAGTCTGTACCTTTGTATGCTAATTAGTAATTACAGATGAATGAAGTATTCATTTAGATTTTTAAAGATGTAATGCAGCATCTATCATATATTATACTTAAAAATCATATTTTTTGTTGGTGACAGTATATTAGAAGATATCTTGGCTGAAGTAAGCAAAAGTTGTAAAAAGTGCGCTTTTTAAAATTTACTCTTTATCTAATATATAAAATTTACAGTGGCTGTGGTTAATCTTCTTATAAAAAGTGTTGAAACCACTAGAAAAAATTATTTTTTCAAAAAATGTCACAGTTTGTTGTGCAATTTAGTTTAAGTATAGCTATTCATAAACCCACACCCATTTTACCTCTGACCCACAGATGACGTCATATGTTCATAGCATATTTTTTAGCCAAAATGCGATATTTTATCTAAAAAGTCATTTTTGTTAGTGTTCCAAAAGATTTTTTAGAGAAGATTTTATGCTCTATTCGTTTATAATTAGCATATACAAAAGTACAGACTTTTTGCCGGAAGGGAAAACGGGTGTGGGTCGGAGTCAATATGAGTACCATTTTGTGACGTAATTTGTGGTTCGGAGGTAAAACAGTGTGGGTCGCCTTCCCCCCATCTAGGGACACATGGCTTTGATACATCTGTTTGAATTGTTTGACATTCCTTGAGTTTTTGATGTTTTCAGGTAGTGCATTCCACTGCAGAACTATTCTATTTCAGAAATATGAATTTGGTCTGGAAGCTTCTATATATATATACAAAGGGACTATTCACTTGTTCTGGTTTCTCTCCTCTCAGCACAAACCAAATCTTTCTGTCCACACCATTTTAATTCCATGTATGATTTTATAGGGTTGTTCAAGGTCGGTGTATGTTATTCTCTCCTGTAGTGTAGTGAGGCCAAGTTCTTTTACGGTGGATTCTCATTTGAACTACTGCCGTTTGAACTATGGTACGTTTGAACTATTGTTCGTTTGAACTATTGTTCATTTGAACTACTGACATGACGTCATATCCTGTAGTTTAAATCAACGCATTTCTTGCTCATTTGAACTATTTTTCTACCCCAATTCAGTTTTAAATAGTTCAAACGGCAGTAGTCCAAATGAGATAGCATCTCTTTTACTCTTGTTAAATTACAGTTTATTGTAATCCATTAACCTTTTTTAGAGATTTTTTCTAGACATTTTCTAACCTTTTATGACATTTGAAGTTAACTAGGGATTCCAAACTGGAGAGGAGAACTCAAGAGATGAGGTCTACATATGTCTTGTACAGATTCATATATGTAATCCTATCTCTGTAGGTGAAAGCTCTCATATTTTTATGTATTTTGACGTTTTAAGATTTCAAACGCGTGAAATGAGATAAATAGCTCTAAGAATAAATTTATAGTACATAGAAAGTTCGGTATATACATAGATATAATAGAATATATATTAGAGGGCAATTTACTAGAAAAAAGTGTAAAACGGCCATTTTGTTGTACTGTTTCCATACTGCAGGTGTACTTCACATATTTATGCTATATAACCTTTTGGGCTCTGGAATTTCATTTTATAGAAAATCTAAAATTATTTTAAAAGAAAACCAAATTATGAAATAGGCTGGTTTCATAATTGACCAATGATCATTTCACATAGACTCTATGCCTTCCACTTTACAAACGACGATTTTCCGTTATAACTATAAATCAAATGATGCTTTTATTCACCTAATTCATTATAAAGTTTATTTAACAGTTTAAAAAATTCGAAATTGAAATAAATAGTCTAGGGAACATACTGTATAAATGTACTCTACTGCATATAATTTGTGAACATTTACATGATTTGGCTAACAGGGACTGAAAAAATTCATACCGAAGGATTCTTTAAATTCCCCTCTAATATATTCTATTCTTTATAGGTCTCTTAAAAGAAAGACGACTTTTTATTCCATATCTATTAGATATCCAATCCCATGTGCAGAATGGGAACAATTCTTAGATTTTAGAAAAAGTATTTTTTATGCTTCAGATTTTCCTTATATTAAAATAAATAAAAAATATTAGTTAATAAAATTTCAACTATTCAAGTTAAGTTAACAGTTGCACTAATTCAGAAGAAAGTATTTTACTAGACTGTGTTACCACGAAGGATGTGAATCTAGGGACGATCTCAATCTCTTTACATATAACGATCTGAAGGATAAAGCCGTTTCTTTGATTAGAAAAAAGTCTTTAAAGGATTTACCTACTGTATCAGTGAACCTTGCGTATCTACAGGGTGTCCCACGAAACATGACAGTATGCAGAACGACTTGAATGTCGTCTTGATTTTTGATATAATTTGCTACGTTTATTTGTCAACCTAATTTTAGAAGTAAATTTCTAGAGATAATAATCACAAAATTACCCTTGTCCTGCCATTTCCAAAATGTGGTCTGCCATTTTTGTGCTTTCAATATTGCCCGAGATATGAAGAATTTCGTTCAGATTTCGACAATTTTGCTTTTATTTAACAAAATTGAAATCTGAACCAAACTCTTTATATCTCCGGTAATATTGAAAGCACAAAAAACGCAGACCACTTTTTGGAAATGCCAGGGCTAGGAGAATTATGTGATAATTGTTTCAAGAATCATACATGTTAAAGTAGATAGAAGACTAAATGTCACAAATAAATTCAAATATCAAAGACGACTTTCAAGTCGTCTTGCTATTGTCATGTTTCGTGGGACACCCTGTATTTGTATAAAAGTTGTAATCTCTGTTTATTTGTTTGTATGTCCAATCATAACTTAGAAACCCCTTGACTGCTTTGCTTGACATCTTAAATGTGTAACTTGGTAGTACAGCGGGAAGGTGCTTAGCTTGGTTTAGAAGTTTAAAGTTGAAAAGGTAGTTTTAGTTTAGTCTATCCAATAAAACAAGACATATTCGTAAATATATATATATATGTTGCGTATAGCTGGCCAAACGGCTGGACAGATTGGGCTGACATTTTCTTGTGGACACTCATTGATGGCCAGGGGTTGTAAAAGAAAAAAAATCAATTTTTTTCCACGGGTAACGCCGGGCCTTTTAGCTAGTAGCCCATATAGGTATAGAGAAAGATTACGTGCAGTCGTCTTTAACGTGTGAATATTTGTCGGTAACCCTGTAATATAGAGCTTGAGACGTCATGGAGACGTCACCTTAAAGTCGGTAAATTTCAGAATACTCTATATTAAATATCCTTTCAGGTATTATTTATACTACAGCCAATAATAAATCGAAAGCTAATTTATTAAATCCAATTCATCGAATTATTATTTTAAAGACCAGAGTTTGGATTTCCTACACCATGACACACTTGACAGTTTCTCCTTGTTCATCCAGATATTCATCAACAAACCTGGCAGACCAGTCTTTAGAATCAGCATTCCTAAACAAAGGATTAATTACATCATAAACCTGGCAGACCAGTCTTTAGAATCAGCATTCCTAGACAAAGGATTAATCACATTACAAACCTGGCAGACCAGTCATTAGAATCAGCATTCCTAGACAAAGGATTAATCACATTATAAACCTGGTAGACCAGTCTTTAGAATCAGCATTCCTAGACAAAGGATTAATCACATTACAAACCTGGCAGACCAGTCTTTAGAATCAGCATTCCTAGACAAAGGATTAATCACATTACAAACCTGGCAGACCAGTCTTTAGAATCAGCATTCCTAGACAAAGGATTGATCACATTATAAACCTGGCAGACAAGTCTTTAGAATCAGCATTCCTAGACAAAGGATTGATCACATTATCTGTACATTATAATTGTACAGATTTCGATTAGTCGAAACTTTTAAAATCCCATGTGACTAGGGATGTTAACGTTTTCATTTTTCAGAAAAACGATCGTTTTGTTATGAAAACGACGACGAAAAATCGAAATCGAAACGATCGTTTTTAAAAACGATAGTTTTTTTTAAAAAGTTCGTTTTTTAAAAATGGTCGTTTTTAAAACGATCGTTTTTCAAACCGCTCGTTTTTATAAAATTCGTCGTTTCGTTCACGATCGTTAACAACGACCCCTTCGTTAACGATCGTTAACGAAGTGAGGAAACCGACCTGAAGGGCATCTGTACTTATCATTGAGTAGTTTTTAAGAAAATATCAAGGGAGTATTAACTCCCCCACAACTGTTAAACTTCATGTAAGACGACATTCAATAAAGTTGCATGTAATTTTTTTTCCAAAACGACCGTTTTGATAAAGTTCGTCGTTTCGTTAACGATCGTTAACGACAACCCTTCTTTAACGATCGTTAACGACGACCTTTCGTTAACGATCGTTAACATAATTGTCAATAACATTTTTTTTTCAAAAACAATCGTATAACAAACGATCGCAAATCGTTTTAATAAAAACGATCATTTTCAAAAACGATCGCTATTAGTTTTCTAAAAGTTTAAAACGAGTGGGTCGTTTTTAAAAAGGATTGTTTTTTTCCGAAAACGAAACGATCGTTTTTGAAAACGAAACAAAAAAAGATCGTTTACAAAAACGATTAACAACCCTACATGTGACTAAGGCATGTTTAAAACTTTGTCCGTGACTAAACCAAATTAAGAACGCAAAGCAGTCAAAGACGACCTTCTATATAGGATGTAATTTTTGTAATATTATTTTTATAATTCTCAGATGATTTCATTATATATTTACATTATTCAATGACAACCAATATAAAACAGAAGTGTTCTGTGTTATCGTCCCCTCTTAGGAAGAAATGCTGCTTGGTAATGCATATATAAAATATAAAAATTTGTGCAAGCCATTTTCAAATATGCAACATTTACAAACTTTAAAAATCCTAGGCAAATCATGCCTTTCTAATTATAGAAGAAGGACAACACAAATTTTAATACAATTTATTTAAAATTATATTTTTTTTAAATTGTATCCATGCAATATATCTAAATAAACATAAGGAAACTAACCTGAAATCATGTGTTATTTCTATGCAGTGTTGGATAAAAAGATTTGTTACCATTTGCTGAAATATTTAGTTATTCATATTTTCATGGAAATGACGTCATTGTAAGAACTTAACTTTCATGAAGGTTTAATTCTTAATAAAGAAAATTGCAAAGGTGCAAAGAATTCCCAAATCAACTTGAAATAAAGTCCGGGGAAAACTAAAAACATATTTATACTTTATAGATTTACCTTTTTATTGTAGTTTCCAACCTCACGGTCACATCCCTAGAGATTTTAGGCTTTTAGTTAAAAAAAATTATGAAATATCCAGGAATTGATTTGCTGAGTATTATGTTTTCCTACCTTCTTCCTAACGCACGATATTTTCTTTATATCGATAAAATCTTCGTCCCTGTCATAGTCTACACTATATCTAAACAAATAAAGATTTTAATCCTTGTCCCTGTCATTGTCTGCACTGTATCTAAACAAATATAGATTTTAATCCTTGTCCCTGTCATTGTCTACACTGTATCTAAACAAATATAGATTTTAATCCTTGTCCCTGTCATAGTCTACACTATATCTAAATAAATATAGGTTTTAATCCATGTCCTTGTCATTGTCTACACCGTATCTAAACAAATATAGATTTTAATCCTTGTCCTTGTCATAGTCTACACTATATCTAAATAAATATAGGTTTTAATCCATGTCCTTGTCATTGTCTACACCGTATCTAAACAAATATAGATTTTAATCCTTGTCCCTGTCATAGTATACACTGTATCTAAACAAATATAGATTTTAATCCATGTCCCGGTCATTGTCTACACTATATCTAAACAAATATAGATTTTAATCCTTGTCCCTGTCATTGTCTACACTGTATCTAAACAAATATAGAATTTAATCCTTGTCCCTGTCATAGTATACACTATATCTAAACAAATAGAGATTTTTATCCTTGTCCCTGTCATTGTCTACACTGTATCTAAACAAATATAGATTTTAATCCTTGTCCCTGTCATAGTCTACACTATATCTAAACAAATATAGATTTTAATCCTTTTCCCTGTCATAGTGTACACTATATCTAAACAAATATAGATTTTAATCCTTGTCCCTGTCATAGTATACACTATATCTTAACAAATATAGATTTTAATCCTTGTCTCTGTCATAGTGTACACTATATCTAAACAAATATAGATTTTAATCCTTGTCCCTGTCATAGTATACACTATATCTTAACAAATATAGATTTTAATCCTTGTCTCTGTCATAGTATACACTGTATCTTAACAAATATAGATTTTAATCCTTGTCCTTGTCATAGTCTACACTATATCTAAATAAATATAGGTTTTAATCCATGTCCTTGTCATTGTCTACACTGTATCTTAACAAATATAGATTTTAATCCTTGTCCTTGTCATAGTCTACACTGTATCTAAACAAATATAGATTTTAATCCTTGTCCCTGTCATAGTATACACTATATCTAAACAAATATAGATTTTAATCCATGTCCTTGTCATTGTCTACACTATATCTAAACAAATATAGATTTTAATCCTTGTCCCTGTCATAGTATACACTGTATCTAAACAAATATAGATTTTAATCCTTGTCATTGTCACTGTCTACACTATATCTAAACAAATATAGATTTTAATCCTTATCCTTGTCATTGTCTACACTATATCTAAACAAATATAGATTTAAATCCTTGTCCCTGTCATAGTATACACTATATCTAAACAAATATAGATTTTAATCCATGTCCCTGTCATAGTTTACACTATATCTAAACAAATATAGATTTTAATCCTTGTATATAAGGCAAGTGTAAATTTTAAATGTCCCAAGAGCTTTTAAGAAATGACTATTTGGCACTTATGCCATATATTTATATGTTTATTGGACAGTGTCTATAAACATATAAATGATATTTTCTGATAAGATGATTTTGATCCTCAAACATTACATTAAATATTACATTTTATTACCTTTTTAGTATTAAAATCGCTAAATATATCAACACATTGCAGATTTAAGAAAAGCATATATTCGTTATGCATCACTTCAGCTTGTATTACCAGAGAAATTATATCATTTTTCTATAGTCATATTTTAATTTATGCATTGTACTTACTTGCAGTACAGCAAGTCCCCCTCAGTAGTTCCTGTACACCGTCCAATAACAAAGCTTCCAAATGCTCCATGGTGATGCTAAATTATAGTTCATGAATAAATAGTTTATTTTGAGGAATTGTTTAGATAGTTTTAATTGACTCTACAGTCAGCAACAAATAAGGCACAAACATGTTAATAAACTCTTCTTAAAAAAAAATGTTATTCAAATGTTTTGTTTATATTTTCTTTGCGTTTATGTCGAAATCAGTCACGTAATATATTTTGGGGAAACTAACAGCTCTTAAGTTGATAACATTGTTGTTAAAATGTTAAAATTGTATTTATTTGCCTTAACCCCCTTTTTAAATTTTACTAAATATTTAGATAAACGGAGAGATTAAAACTTGTATGAAACCTCACTCTTGGATCAAACTGTTGGGAGTAGAGTATGGAGTTTAAGATCCATAATTTGGATTCATGATGATTAAATAATGATTGGAATTAGTTTTAAAATTGTAGAAATTTCGGTAAAAACATTGAAATCTAATTAATACTTGACCAGAAAATAAACATTCATATCTAATTAATACTTGATCAGAAAATAAACATTGATATCTAATTAATACTTGATCAGATAATAAACATTGATATCTAATTAATACTTGATCAGATAATAAACATTGATATCTAATTAATACTTAATCAAATAATAAACATTTATATCTAATTAATACTTGATCAGAAAAAGCTTTTCACCAAAATGTGAATCGGGCATTGTCATCTTTGCATGTAGGGTCACTTGAAATTAAGCTTACAGTCCCTTTAAGAACGCTTTATAGTAAGTGGATTAAACGGATGTTTACTATTTAGACCTTTTAGATGAAGATTGTAGACTGATTAAACATTATCTCTTCAACTTTAGCTTCTTGGTAAATAAACTTTTTAAACGTAATTTTAACTTACAGCGTTTACATCAACCTTTGCTTGTCTCCCATTCCGGAGCCCAAGGGAACTACAGGTTCCGATAAATATCAGAATTAAGATACCTGAAAAATATGAAAATTAAGAAAGCTGAAAGGCATGAGTAATAATTAACCTGAAAGGTAATGTGTACCAGTAAACCTGAAAGGTATGAGTAATAATAAACCTGAAAGGTATGAGTACTAATAAACCTGAAAGCTATGAGTACTAGTAAACCTGAAAGGTATGAGTACTAATAAACTTGAATGGTATGATTACTAATACACCTGAAAGGTATGATTATAATAAACCTAAAAGGTATGAGTACTAATAAACCTGAACGCTATGAGTACTAATAAACCTGAAAGCTATGAGTACTAATAAACCTGAAAGGTATGAGTACTAATAAACCTGAAAGGTATGATTAATAATAAACCTAATAGGTATGAGTACTAATAAACCTGAAAGCTATGAGTACTAATAAACCTGAAAGCTATGAGTACTAATAAGCCTGAAAGCTATGAGTACTAATAAACCTGAAAGGTATGAGTACTAATAAACCTAAAAGGTATGATTACAATAAACCTAAAAGCTATCGGGCCTTTCCCTTTTCAACTTGATCTTTTATCTTTCTTTCATTCTATTTCCTTCTTTACTCCTCTCCCTTTAATTCTTCCAACCCTGCCTCCTTTTTTCTTTCAATTCTCCCCCTCAATTCCCATATACAATTCATAATTTGCATATCGGCGCTTTACACACCATTTTATCGAATACATTTTCTATGATGAAAACATTGAATTATGCAGGGTATTATTTTTTAGAATATTAAGTGTACAGGGTTAAATAGGGGTTTTTTAATATTTGTTGAAAAATTAGATTAAATCAAATTATTCAGTTGATAAAAGATTCTGGAAGGGGGATTCATAACTCATAATTTTTGGGAAAAAATGGATTTAACATGCATTCTTCTTAATATATGTAATGGTATTTTTTTGAAATTTTCAAGCACAATCTTACGAACAAAGAAACTGAGTTTTAGTCCAAAAATCTTTGCAACTCGATGTCGTTAAATTTCAAACTACAAGTTATGTTACATCAATGAGCCTAAGTTTGAAATATCAAAGGTTTATACCAACAGGTTACAAAGATTCAGGGATAAATAAACTTGAGTTTGTGGCAAAGCCTCAAATCATTTACCCACAAAACAAAAATTTTTTTTTTTAATTTTTAAAAACCTTTTGGGATTTTTTAAGATACAAATTACAATTACAGCTTTAAGGTTCAGTTTTAAAAAATACTTTAATTTGAATAGCTATATAAAATCCAGACTATCCTAAATATTTTTTGATCAATCAAAAGATGATACAGGGTGTCCCAATAAACTTGGGAATTCAGTGACGAATTCGATATCGCCTTATTAAATAATTCTTTGATATAGTTTAGTGATACCTACGGAGAAAGCTGTATAATATGTAAGAGTTTCGTCTGCTATGTTCACATTTGGTTTGTTTATGTTTTGACTGCATAATGTTGTACTTGGTAAAACAAGAAAATTGCAGTGTACAAACATAGTAAATTTGTCCGTCTTCACTGTTCATCTTGCGAAGACATTATAGACACATTTTTACAGTCTTTTACCCTTTTCATAAAATAAACTCTAGCAGACATAATAATATTATGGGTTTTGAAATTAGGTATTACAATGCTAATTCATAACAAAGACGATATCCAATTCGTCACTGAATTCCCATGTTTTTTTTGATACACCCTGTATAAAGGTTGTGCTCTATAAGGTTGTTGTGAACAAAAATGAGAAAAAACTTTTATCTGTATAATCTGTGAAATGAATATTTTAAATCCCTAAATTTCTGGTGACGTGGTCAATGATAATCTAGAATCTTCTCTAATTGGAAAATAAATGTCAAGACAAAACTTCGTCAAAAATGTTTTCNTTCCCACCTTCAATAAACTCAGTTCTTGAAAATCACTATGCTCACTATACAGGTGTTTTATAGCTAGAGTTCAGCAATTTGTTATTTATTTCTGTATCAAACACGTGAATAATTCCTCTATAAATTTGACGTGTTTATTTTACAATTTTTTCAAAGACTTACAAAGTTAATAAAAAAACTCTAACATTTAATGTCGCACATTTTTTTCAGTTTTCAATAACTGATTTAAAAGTTTTGTATTGCACCCTAGTTAAACGAGCGTAACCGAATCTAAAGCCCAATGTGTTTTGCAAACATAACAGAAAATGCGCGTTGCAGCGCGCACAACTGGACAGATCTGATTAATTTTATTTCCCCAACTATATTCAATGATATTCAAAACCAAGAAAACATGTCACTATCAGCTCCATACTTTTTAATAACGATTAAAGTATGATTTATCTTCATTGAAAATTTATACTTAAAAATTTCGCGTTTTTTTCTGTTTATGCTTGTGGATGTTTAAAAACTAATCAATGTCAACATTTTTTCCCAGACAAAATTTGTCCAATTGGACCGTGTATAAAGCAATTCCAAAGAGAATAGAATATATATTAGAGGGGAATTTACTAGAAAAAAGTGTAAAACGACCATTTTGTTGTACTGTTTCCATACTGCAGGTGTACTTCACATATTTATGCTATATAACCTTTTGGGCCCTGGAATATCATTTTATAGAAAATCTAAAATTATTGTTAAAAGAAAACCAAATTATGAAATAGGCTGGTTTCATAATTGACCAATGATCATTTCACATAGACTCTATGCCTTTCACTTTACAAACGATGATTTTCCGTTATAACTATAAATAAAATGATGGTTTTTATTCACCTAATTCATTATAAAATTTATTTAACAGCTTTAAAAATTTCGAAATTGAAATGAATAGTCTAGGGAACATACTGTATTAATGTACTCTACTGCACATAATTTGTGAACATTTACGTGATTTGTACTCCCTTTCAGGCTGAATGAGACTGAAAAAATTCATACCGAGAGATTCTTTATATTCCTCTCTAATATATATTCTATTCTCTATGAGCAATTCCCTTTGGTAATATTACTACAACACATTTCAGCCCAATTGGTTTAGTCGATATGATGACGCTTATTTGATACAAACGGACAGACAGACAAGAAAAATATATGCATGGACAGGACAACACCTGTTTTAAAAACAATTAATTAATTATCATTTTTTAAAATAAACTGTTATATCATTGTTAAAAAAGTATAACACCTTAAACTTGTTAGTTGTCAGATGTATTACTTAAAAAGAGTTTTAAAGAAAACATCAACGAACTTCGAACTAAGGGGGGGGGGGTAACTGAGTTTGCAGATTTATTAATGGCATTATTAGGATCAAAAAGCTAATCGCAGTTTTCTTTTGATTCTGATTTCTGACCCCTTGAATCAAAATGCAGGTTTAGACGATTCATCCTGTTTTCGAAGCTAAATAAAAATATTTTAAATTTTCTACCCACCATTTTAAAATTATAGTCGTAATTTCTATTTGCATTTGATTAAATTTAAGTGTAATGTTTATTGTTTATTCTTATGTTTAATGGTCCCCCCTGTATACACTAGTCTACCCTATATAGTTAGGTATATGATGAGCAGATTGTACAGAGTATACACACAAGATGAAATTATCTATCTAAACCTTAATAAGTATAATTTGAATTAGGAATTTGGTAGATAAACAGTATTTAGTAGACACATTGGAATTAACCCCCAAACCTTATTAGTAAGAGAAGAAGGGGGGGGGGGGTACTGTATCAAAACAGAATATCTTTTAAGAATCTAAAAATATTATGTGGTTATCCGGTAAATTTATTTTTGTTAGTAAATCAGCATATATAATATATTACTAGTGTTATCCTAGTCAAAAGACGAGACTTCAGAGACGACTTTATGGAATTAAGACTGTCTGTTTCCCGGCAACTGTTAACTTGTTTCTTTATTTGTCAAATAATTAAATATGCCATTAATAGAATATATTCAAGACAGTTTCAGGTCGTCTTTACAGTCTCATGATCTCATCTAAAATATTAAAAATAATTCAGGGTTCTTCTCTAATTATTTTACCCAGCCTTGTATGCAGATATTTTTAACTTTTTAACTTTTTAACTTTTTCAATTTTTAACTTTTTTTATTTTTTAACTTTTAAATTTCTAAATTTTTTTATTTTTTAACTTTTAAGTTTTTAATTTTTAAATTTTACTTTTTAACTTTTTTTTTTTAAAATTTTTAACCAAACTGAAAACATTCTCGTGGTTATACCAAGTTCCCGTATCAAAATTTGAGGCATAGTGGCCCAGGGGTTACTGAGTTATGATCGGACATACAAACAAACAGACGAACAGAGATTAATACTTTATATATATAGACCCCAGCTCGAAAAACCAGCTTTGTCTGTTGATCTTAGCAAATTTTTAAACAAACCCAAATCAATTGGCCAATAGGTCAAGGGGTTTATGAGTTACAAACATTGTCCATAATGAAAAAGAATAAATTGCATATTACTTCTTAAATTTATTTCGATCGTGCATGAAAACGATAATTTTCAGTCGTATTCATTTTAAATCAAACTCGACAGTAATTTTATTTTATTAAAGGATTTTAAAAGGTATTTTACCTTGTTTGCAAAACTATTCTGTATTTTACTCTTAGAGTAATAATGTCATACTATCTATACATTGTTTTCAATTTTTATTTTTTATTCATAAAAAAGATTAATACAAATGAGTTAAAAATTATTTTAATATAGCTGCAGTATTCCCTATTATTAAATTGTAAAACTTCCTGGAGATTCTAAATGCCTCCCCCCCCCCCGGGGCTAATGGCCTCGAAAACCCCAAAGCACCTCTTTTAAGTAAGAATCAAACCGCCAACAAAATTCATTTTTTGACATTTTCAAAATTAATAATCTTGCATTCTTTCTTCAGAGTATTATGCACGAAGGAATAATGATTAAATGAATAAAACAGTGAATGTATTAACTAATAAATTAATGAAAAAATAATTACCTCCAGTCTTCATTATGCTAAAGCTCTAGATTAATATAAACTGAACTGATTTTTAAAAAATGTTTAATTGATTAAAGGTGTCTAGGAATGTATTTGGTAAAGTCGGCTGCCGAAACATTTTTTTAAAATAAAATGTAAAGGAAAAATGAATCGGGTTATTGGCTGAAACCTAAGAATATCAGGAGTTGATTGAGACATGTAAGACATCTAGCTGATGTTCTTTTCTCGAGAAATTGATGAAAACTGTGTCAAAATTATACCAACGTATATATGTAAGATTTTGTATAAGATTCGTAGTATTAAACACCACTGACGACACGACTGCAATCACAATTGAGAACAAAATCAAGAAAGAAGAAACTAGCTGCATGAAGTTTTCGGTCGCACTTTAAACAAATTCGGTTGAAGACTTTTTACAATGTTTGCTAATCAATCAAATGTTGAACAGGTGCCTTAGCACATATTTTATTTATGAATTGCATGATTTAAGTTTATTATACATTTTATCGGCTAGGTTAAAAAAATGCAGAGTGCACGACAATTATCAAAATTAAATTTTTGGAAAAAGTAATATGAATGATTAAGTTCTGAAAGGTTATATCTTTCTGCACCATACTTAATATTTAATGGACCTTTGACTTTTTGGTGAAAAAGCTTTAAAAAACTTGGAAAAATGTGGAAAAAGGGGCAAAAAATATTTTTTTCCACTTTTTTAGTTTTGTTTACTTAAAACAAACAAAAAGGATACCCATATGCAAAATATCATTAGAAAAATGAACCCATCAATCCAGAAAATCTGAAAATATTATCAAAGTGGGAAAATATGATTAAATAAGGGGAAAATAGGGGGGAAAAGGATCTGAAAAACCTTAATTTTTTTTAATGTTAGTAATGAGATTCTTGACTAACAAGCAGGTGTTTAAAGCACCTAGCTGGTATTTGACTCAGACTTTTTGGTGAAAAAGGTTTAAAAAACATGAAAAAATGTGTGAAAAGGGGGAAAAAGTATTTTTTTCCACTTTTTTATTTTTGTTTACTTAAAACAAACACAAATGATGCCCATATGCAAAATATCATTCACAGTCTGAGAAAAATGAATCCATGAATCCAGAAAATCTGAAAACATTATCAAAGTGGGAAAAAATGATAAAATAAGCGGAAAATAGGGGGAAAAAGGATCTGAAAAACCTTAAACTTCGTTCTGATGTTAGTAATGAGATTCTTAACTAACAATCAGGTGTTTAAAGCACCTAGTTGGTATTTGACTCAGACTTTTTGGTGAAAAAGGTTTAAAAACATGGAAAAATGTGGAAAAAATATTTTTTTCCATATTTTTTTTTTATTTTACTTAAAACAAACACAAATTATGCCCATATGCAAAATTGCATTCAGGCTCCTCAAAAAATGAAGACAGGAGTCCAAAATGTATTCAAATGGGAAAAGTGTACCCTCTCCTTAAAACAAAATTTGTACCAACTTTAAGACGACATTTAGAAATTGGAAATCATTTCCCGCATTTACTAAGAGATTGATTTTCAACGAGACAAAATTCAAATCGTTTAGATTTCTCTTGGTTTAGAAATAAAAACAGAGGAATGATTGACGTCTTCTTTCTTTCTTTCTTTCTTTCATTATTGTAATTTAAGCTGGATTGGAAACTTCTTGAAAGCCGACCACCTTAATTTGGAATTCTTAACCCAAGCTAAGAACATTTCTGTGGTTCTGTGATCAAAGGGTTCCTGAGTTATGATCAGACATACAAACAAACAGACAGAAAACAGAGATTAATATTTTATTTATATAGAACTAATGTGCCCTCATTTATGATTTAAATCAATTACAGTGATAACCAGAAAACTCCGAAATAAGAAGACGACTTTATAGCAATACTTAAGTGTATTTGATGTTGTTATAAAGCCACCCAAGACTAACCAGAGTGAGAGGCATTCGGTTTCTTCTAATTGAAATCATACATATTTTGGTCTATAATTCAACAATACAAGTATTTTAAAAAAAGGATTGATTAAAAATTATGTTTAATGGGTCAAATTGTGATCGTAAGTGACAGCTTTCTGGAATATTGACAGAATCGTTAAATCCACGTGAAGCAAATAGTTTTACTAGACACTTATTAAATCACAAATCAAGCGAAATGGGTCTGATTACATTGAATAATTACTGTTTCCCGTGCTCATTGAACTATCTAAAGTCATAATTTAAGTTTAAAAGTCGTCTTCCGATTCCAGAGATTTCTGGTTATCACTGTATACTAATTACAAATTAAAAAATACATGTTGAAATTTCTGAATTAAAAGAAGGAATGACAGCAACAGTTTAAATTCCTTAGTTTTCAATTTAACATTATTTGAAATTAGGAAACATACCTTTTGAATCTTAATCTGTGAGAATACTAAAATATATTTTGTAATAAACAGAAATATATTTTTAACAATATTATTAGCATTTAAAAGTTAAATATAATGATTTTTAACTTTAACCCAAATTTTGATTATTATGAGTCACTCAATATCCAACTTAATCATTTTCGTGATAACTAAACCTGGATGGATTGCAGTGTAGGACAATTAATTCTTTATTCGAACTACAGAAACAATTCTTTAAATCCACCCCTTTTATACTTGTTTAGAACTTTCTACCTGCTAACTGTAATAATCATAGAGAATAGAATATATAGAGAGGAATTTACTGGAAAAAAGTGTAAAACGGCCATTTTGTCGTACTGTTTCCATACTGCAGGTGTACTTCACATATTTATGCTATATAACCTGTGGGGCCCTGGAATATCATTTTATAGAAAATCTAAAATTATTTGACCAATTATCATTTCATATAGACTCTATGCCTTTCACTTTACAAACGAAGATTTTCCGTTATAACTATAAATCAAACGATGTTTTTTATTCACCTAATTCATTACAAAGTTTATTTAACAGTTTAAAAAATTCGAAATTGAAATGGATAGTCTAGGGAACATACTGTATCAATGTACTCTACTGTATATAATTTGTAAACATTTACATGATTTGTACACTTTGAACTCCCTTTCAGGCTTAAAAGGACTGAAAAAATTCATACCGAGAGATTCTTTTAATTCCTCTCTATATATTCTATTCTCTATGGTAATAATACAAAACTTAGTCATTTACAGACACTGTCGACATAAATCCTTAATTTAAGTCATGTCCAGTTCAAAATGGTTGTCCTTAAATTGGAACTGAAAACATAATTTCAAGTGACCTTCCATTTCAAGAGGGACATCCCCGATTTCCAAACTGGTAATCGAGAACGGATATTTCAGTGTATATATCTCTGCAATGCTGTGTTAAAAGGCACACAATTGTAGTGCACGCTAGCGTACTGTGTGAACTAAACACGGATGACGTCACAGTCCCAGCTTTACAGTTTGGGGGAACAAGAGGAAAATGAAGAACAAGAAATATAGAAATCTCAAAATATTTTCATCTGATATCATATGAATATTTTAAAATGTTGTAAAACTTAATTAAAATAAATTATTAAAGTTAAAAAATATATATATGAGCGAAAAGCTTTATTATATAGAAGAAGATTAAATCAAAAACGTTGGGAAAACTTAAACCGTCTTTGAAAATTGAATTTCAGGCCTGATTGATAACACATTTTGGATATTCTGATATTCTGAACCTAGTATGGTCTCATGGTAACCTTTAAACTGTTCCACATGAATATTAGTTGGTTGAGAATGGTTCACATCTGTAAAGGTGGAATAATTCAAAATCATTTAACAGCATTTCATATTCATTCCGCCAATAAATTAAACTAACGATTTCGGCCCATTTGTGCTGACTTGATGTGCGTCTATCCATCCATATTTAACTACAGGGGGTCACAACAAATATCGGAATTTAGTGAAAATTTAATTTGTTTGTTTTTATTGCATATTGTTGTACTGTATTAGTACAATGAGAACTTCCTACAATGCAAATACCAAATACTTGTCGATCGAAATTGTCACAAAATTTTAATGTTTACTGAGACAACCTGTACATCGTGTTATACTTGACAATATCGTGAATATATTGTAAGAACGGGACAATAAAATTCATAACAGATGTTTCCGCTTATTTCTTCTGTTTTATTAGAACTTATTTCTCGGGTTTTATTAAAACTTATTTCTCGTGTTTTATTAGATCTTATTTCTCATGTTTTATTATAACTTATTTCTCGTGTTTTATTAGATCTTATTTCTCGTGTTTTATTAGATCTTATTTCTTGTGTTTTATTAGATCTTATTTCTTGTGTCTTATTAGAACTTATTTCTCGTGATTTATTAGATATTATTTCTCGTGTTTTATTAGATCTTAATTCTCGTGTTTTATAAGAACTTATTTCTCGTGTTTTATTAGAACTTATTTCTCGTGTTTTATTAGAACTTATTACGGCCCAAAGGACTGTTTGAACTTAACCTTCTTAGCCCTTTAAAGGGGCTGTAAAGGAAAAATGAACGGGGGTATATGCTGAAAGCTAATCACTTTAACTCTCGATCGCGACCCATGAAAGTTATATCTGATGTTCCTGTCTCGAGAAATTGATAAACAACTGTGTCAAATTTATACGAAAATTGATATACATACAATTTTGTATAAAAGTAGTACTCCAATTATAATTTCATATTTTTTACTTCTACTTTTAATAGATTTAATTCATAATATTATTTACACGTCCGTATTACTTGACCAGAAATTCCACCAATGGCAGTGCAGTAAAGTGGTCACGTGATACAAGCGGAAACACGTGACCAGTATACTGCTCTGCCATTGGCGATAGTTCTGTTCACGTGATTTAAGCTTAAGATTTTCTAAATTTTACATATATGAACTTTCGTATAATTTTAACACAGTTGTATATCAATTTCTCGAGATAGGGACATCAGATAAAACTTTCATGGGTCGCGATCAAGAGCTAAAGTGATTAGCTTTCAGCCTATACCCCCTTTAATTTTTCCTTAACAGTCCCTTTAAACTCGTCAAACTAGAGTAAATTGCATGTGAGATTGAAATCTTCTGTATTTTTAAACATAACTCCTCTTAATGTAGAGCTATTGAGAAAACCATAATGTTTTGAGTTTTCATAATGGAACCGGAGAAGTTTTGAAGTCTCCGACTTAAGTAGAGGAGTTACCTGGTCACAAAGTAGTACTAGAAATGTAAAATAAATTTGAACTTTTCCTCCTGTACGTCTAGTTCAGCGTGTAAAGGCTAGGTTTTTATATCTTTGAATGATCAACGGGCCTTTCGACTGGCTTCCCTGGAGAAATATCTCCCATCCCCTAAAAAAATCAAACAAAAAACTTTCCGCATTACATTTTTCTTATCAGTCAAGAGCTGTTAAAAATAAGGACTGTGGGATAAAAAAAAACCCCAGCAGTTTTAGGATTAACAGGGGCGTACNTGGGGGAGGCTATTTTAATATTACATCTGCTTGCATTTCCCTTCCTTAGGCCAGACACAGTGGCGTACCTAGGGGGGATAGTAGTCCTCTTGCCCCCCCTGAGAGTTCCTGGCGGGGTCCTGCCCCCCCCCCCGTGGAAAGTACAAAATTAAAAGGAAACTGCGTTTAGAAAGTAACACCTGACAATGACAAAGACTAAGGATTTGTCTAAATTCACTGTTAATACAAGACAAGGAGAGAAAAGTTTTAGCCTTCTAAAGAAAATACTTCAGTACACAAGATGTACTATGACGGAGAGTTTGATATCCATCCATCTATCTATCTATATATTGTAGATATATTCCTGTACTTGCTCTGTTTGCTATCCATCTTTCTATATGTAGATATATTCCTGTATTTGCTTTGATTGCTATCGATCTTTCTATATGTATTTGCTCTATTTGCTATCCATCTTTTTATATGTAGATATATTCATGTATTTGCTCTGTTTGCTATCCATCTTTCTATATGTTGATATATTCCTGTATTTGCTCTGTTTGCTCTCCATCTTTCTATATGTAGATATATTTCTGTATTTGCTCTGTTTGCTATCCATTTATCTATCTATCTATATATTGTAAATATATTCCTGTACTTGCTTTTTTTGCCAAACATCTATATAATGTAGATATATTCATGTATTTGCTCTGTTTGATATATATATATATATATATGATGATCTATCAAGCTATCTTATCCTTGGCATATATTGGTTTATTAGTTTTTAAAACCTCAACTTCATTTTTAACCAATACATACTCCTACACACAGTACACCTATTGCTTACACCCCGATCTATTCCTTACACACACTTCATCATACACATCTTCCTTACTATCCTTACACACACTCCTACACACCTTCCTTACAATCCCTACACACACCCCTTACTCTCCTTACACACATTAGTAAGTCGATAGCAAGTGAGTTGAAAGTAAAAGAAAGTAAAAAGGCTCCCATGAAACACAGCAACTGAGCAATGTTCACAGACCCATTTCACTTTACAAGTTGATTGTCAAGACAATTTACTTTAGAACAACATCAATTATAAACAGGATTGCTTAAACCTCGTCTTACTATTCCACTGTTTTATGGGTCTAACTGTATGAGGCGGTGATTTTTCTATGATCAAAACTAATAACTTACACGTTCTCTTTTTTGACAAACGCGAAGTACAGATTTCTACACAAAAGACTGAATGTTAAAAGAGGAACGATAAGTTTATGTTAATGTTACTTAGATTAATAGTTGTGAATCGATTATGCAACTCTTTCTAGGGTAGATTGGTTTGGATATGCCACTGAACATGGAGAAGAACTGTACTTTAACGCTCCCTTCAATACTCTTTTTCTAAGAAAAAATCTACTCTGATTGTTTTTTTTTTCAACGAAGCCCCCTTCACCCTTCCTTATCTCCTAGACGTATGTAACCCCCCCCCCCCCCTCCCTGGATTGCATATAGATGAACCGCATTTAATGTTATGACATCATCCAGTCTATCCTGTAGAATGCAGATTTTAAGGTTGAGAATATCAAAGAATTATTTTCGTCGTGATACAAACAGATTTATTATTAACGTGATTATTTCATAACAGAGAGAAAAAAACGAACAACTGTAGATAAAGCTTAGCGTAAAATAAACAAACAAATTTAAACAAAATCTGGAAAAACTGGATCAACTAGGAACAGTGTTGATGTTTCAGATATGTGGATAAAATACTTAAGTAGCCTTCACTTTCGAACAAACACTCCTAACTAAACGTACGCATTTTTGTATTTTTTCTACACTTTTTGTTTGGTTAGATGCATTTTTAATTTTCAAGTGCAAAAAACGTTTTCTTTTCTTATTGTTGGATGTGAAATAAAAACTAGAGTGGTTAAATGAATATGTCATCTTTTAACAGGCAGGGAGTCTCGAGAGTAGGCTTCAATCTTTCTATACCTAGTAAAGAGGTCCTTTTCGTATATATATAGAACAACATTAAAAATAATATTTAAATACATCTGAACACTTACACGCGCTCACACAAAATCAAGCAGTATTTTGCCAATAACTCCTTTCAAGCTTAAGCTAGAAACAAGCGCGTTAAATTTTTAAAATGTATATGCCTATGGCTACAAAAAAGAACAAATGAATTGTTGAAGTAAAACCAAATTGATAAAATTTTATCACTGAGTTGTTTTCTATAATTAGAATATTTCATTTAGCATTTTCGATCGGTTCGAGCAATTATAGGTTTGCAGCACTAAAATTGAGGAAGTTATGACAGATCGAATCTTGCCATTTTGGATTTTTTGAATCATGTTATGTGATTTCAGAAAGATTAAAAAAGAGGAAAATTCTGTTTAAAAAGGATTATATACACAAAAACCAAAAGTTGCTTCAGTTAATGTAGGACATTTTTAATAGAAATGTAATAAATATAATAATAAGGACCTGAGAAACTTATTTATTTTATTATTTTCTTTTGTATATTAGGTATATAAATAGATTGTTATTTAAACATTTTAAAAACTAGACGTGAATGTAAGATAGGGTTTTCTGTTTCTGATATCAATTTCTAACCACAATGTCAGACTTCAACCTAACAATGTTTATGCTAAAAACTTTGATTTGGTATTTATCGATTGGAAATGTTCTGTAAATTTTGTAAATGTTTAAAAATGTAAAAATCAAACTATATGATGTGAGCTCTTGTACCTCAGAGAGCGTTTTTGGGATAAAGTAGATAGATATCTGTGTCCGATATTTAACTATAAACAATTTGACTCAAATTTTGATTGGGAAACTCGGTAGAACCACAGAAATATTCTCTGCATGGTTCAAAAATCCATAATAGAGTTGTCAGTTGGTCAACATTAGGAACCCAGTCAAAGCTGGGTTCCTAAAAATATAAACATATCAACATAGTATGTAATATGTATATAATAAAATAAGTATTTAAAACATGATTTGAAGTTTTATTGTATCAACATTATGTTTCATGCTTTCCATTCTTCAGGATAGTATGTATATATATACATGATATATCATGATATATCTTCATATTTTATTCACTATCTGTCCAACTGTTTGTATTTCCTTCAGTGCTCCGTAATTGAATTTTTACCATTGTATATAATTCCCATAATTCATGCAAATGCAGGCTCAACACCCATAATCAGACAGATAGATAGATGGATAGCAAACAGAGCAAATACAGGAATACATCTACATATAGATAAATGAATAGAAAGATATATAGATAGATAGATAGCAAACAGAGCAAATACAGGGATATATCTACATAGAGATAGATGAATAGAAAGATAGATAGATAGATAGATAGCAAACAGAGCAAATACAAGGATATATCTACATATAGATAGATGGATAGAAAGATATATAGATAGATAGATAGCAAACAGACAAATACATGAAATTATCTACAGATAGATAGATAGATAGACAGATGGATACGAAACAGAGCAAATACAGGAATATATCTACATTATGTAGATGGATGGCAAAAAAAGCAAGTACAGGAATATATCTACAATATATAGATAGATAGATAAATGGATAGCAAACAGAGCAAATACAGAAATATATCTACATATAGAAAGATGGAGAGCAAACAGAGCAAATACAGGAATATATCAACATATAGAAAGATGGATAGCAAACAGAGCAAATACAGGAATATATCTATATATAGAAAGATGGATAGCAAACAGAGCAAATACACGAATATATCTACATATAAAAAGATGGATAGCAAATAGAGCAAATACAGGAATATATCTACATATCGAAAGATCGATAGCAATCAAAGCAAATACAGGAATATATCTACATATAGAAAGCTGGATAGCAAACAGAGCAAGTACAGGAATATATCTACAATATATAGATAGATAGACAGATGGACATCAAACAAAACAAATACAGGAATATATCTACATAGAGAAATATGGATAGCAAACAGAGCAAGTACAGGAATATATCTACAATATATAGATAGATAGATGGATGGATATCAAACAAAGCAAATACAGGAATATATCTACATATAGATAGATAGATGGATGGATAGCAAACAGAGCAAATACAGGGATATATCTACATATAGATAGATAGATATCAAACAGGATAATATAGTGTTATGTTTGTCATAAAACAAGGACAAGATACTACTGTAATTTTTAACAAATATAAAGTTAAGTAGATTTCGGAATAATAAAAAATAAACCAGTTAATTTAGAATCTATTAGGATTTAGGTTAGAGTTTTTTTTGTCCAAATTATTTCGAAACTACGATGAGTAATAGGTATCATGATCTCAAAGTTCATATTTAAAGGAAAAAAGGAGGAAAATTCTAGAAAATATATTGTACCGGTCCGACACTTTAAAGCCCAATTGCCCTGCCCCATTTTAGCTGGTTGATGACTCGGCACGGTTTATCGTCAGAGATCTGAGCGCTAGCAAACCCAGTCCAGAGACAAGAAGCGGTTTTCTGTTCAATGCGCGACTAAAACCTCCAGTGTGTCGAGGGCTGGGGGTGCGTGCGCATGATTGAGAAATGTCTGACATCCTTCAAATAAACTGGAGATATGATAGGAATCAAAACCAGGAGCAAGACACAAAAAATGCAGACGAAAAGTATAAATTACGTACGAGTAAGAAAAAAACAGAAATGGCTGGGAAATGCGCAAGAAAACGCGGCCCAAAGCCTAAAACACACTCAGCCAAAATGTCCAAGTATCGGCGGAAAACGGCGAATGCTCGAGAGCGAATGCGCATGGGCGAAATAAATACGGCATTTGACAAACTTAAAGAAAAAATTCCATTGCCAAAAATTGGAAAAGTAAAATGTGAAAAACTAACAAAAATCAATATTTTGCACATAGCAATTAATTATATTCGGGCATTAGAAGATATTCTAGAAACTGGTGAGCTTGCTGCATCTATCTATCCGGAGAAACTTATTTTAAACCCGTTCCTCGGCTCCGGTCCAACCATGGAGACCGAGATGAATGATCTTGGTCCCCGAGGATACTCTCCAGACTCTGGGATTCAAGAGGATTCTGGTACCAAGGACGATCATGAGGAAGATATTGAAGATGAAGATGATGAAAATGATTGTCCAGATTGGACCGAATTGAATTCAACTCTTGATCTAAGATCTGTTCCTCCGCCGAACTCGCCGCCGTTTGATATGGCGCCAGCTTTAACTTCGAAAGCTGCTCCGCCGATCACCGCAGATACTCTGCTGATCAATACAACTCAGCCAACAAGTAAAAGAGACTTAATGTCAACTTCAAAAAGATCACTTAATACAATTAGCTCTAGCGCCGTCCTAGTTCCTCTTTTAACATTACAATCTTCCAAACATCAGTCTGTTCTCTCTCAATCAATGTTGTCTTCCAACCAAACTCTGGTCCAAAACCCTATTCGATGGATAACGAATGAAAACCCGTCCGAATCTGGTTTGAAGCAGAAGAGTAAACCTGTAACCTTGAGCTCCAGAGAATACGATGAGGAGCCAAGGAAACTAACCGGTCAACTTGTATTCAAGGAAACTAGAAACAAGTGTCTAGTTTTCAATGAAGCTCTGGAGGAGGAACCCTTCTCCGATTTCCTTGCAGATTTCGACTCCTTCGAACCAATCCCAGATCTTGATTTTTCTTACGAGGATCCATTCAGAATAATATGATTATATGTTTATGAAATATAAGATATTTAGATTAATATTTTTTATAACTTGTGTTTAAAAAAAAGATTTTTATAATAAATAAATACAAAACTGNAACCTTGCTTGTATACTTTATAGTGGACAGGGGGTTTTTGTGGCGCAGGAGATGAAATCTATAAAAGGGTAGTTAGGGTTCGCCCACGCATTTATATATATATATATAAAGATGCACTTCATGCAGGTTCAAACATATACCTAAAGTATTCCTTCAAGCTGTCAGTTTAAGTTTAATATTTCCTTATCGTTTCCTCATCGTTAACCAATGTCAAGGTTTTTTCTTAGAATTCGTCTTAAGTTAGTAATTACTGTTTATGTTCTGATTGATCAATATTAATAATAAGTACAGAAAAAAAATAATTTATCCGTTTTCAATTTAAAAATTCAAAACAGTTTGCTCTTAATTCTCAATAGCTCTTCAATAAGATGAGTTTTGATTGAAAACATGCAAGATTTTAATCGTACTTTTAGTTAAATTTAGTTTGATACCACAGCAGTATTTGTCCCCATGGTTACTTTGTGAATTACTTCATAAATGACTTAAACGATGCTTCCTGTGTCTATAACGAAGGAACGAAAAATTCCGACTTAAAGTTTAAGTTTCAGCTTTAATGGCACTTCTGACTTTAAAAGTTTGACTCGCCAAAATCGACGAGTTAAAATTTAAACCCAGGGTTAAAATCTTAAAATCCAATATTTTCCTAATTTGTTATATCAATTCAATCATCATTCAGCTGAGAAAGCGGCATTCAACTTTAAGTTATATTTAAAAGTGAAAACCTTGATTGAATAAACTACACGTTTTAGATTAATTCATGTTTGCACGTAAACCCAAAAAACGGTTGTAACTGGAAATATGTTTTGTTTTCGGATATGTAAATAATTTAAAATTGAAAAATAGCTGATGAGCAATGGTTACGTAATATCTCTTCTTAAATCCTTTTCTCTGATTGGTTTAGATTTTTCCCGGGAAATTCAAAGAAATTGAGTCTTTGCCACAAAGTGAAATTTTCGAATCCCTATATCATTGCAACCTCATGGTGTAAGCATTAGATATTTCAAGCTTGTTTTATTGGATCTAACAGAATATATAGTTTGAAATATCAGTGGTCTACAACATTGGGTTGCAAAGATATAAGGATTTAAAAATCAGAGTTTGTGACAAAGACTTAATTCCTTTCCCTTCGGGGTTATATTGAGAAACCTTAATATTTAATAGCAACTTTTTATTTTACAGAACTTTTAAGCTATAACTTAAATTTTGCACATTCTCTAATTTTAGACTCCGGAGATTTTGTCACAAACTTAAATGTTCTAATCCCTATATCTTTGCAACCTGGTGCTGTAAACCTTTGCTATTTAAGACTAAAATTATTTTATCTATCAAAATTCATGGCTTGACATATCTAAGGTCTACTACAAAGGGTTGCAAAGATAACGGGATTAGAAAATCAGAGTTTTTGCAAAGACTCAATTCCTTACTGTCCTCGTTCCCAAAAAAAATTTATTATTCGGTTTATTTTTTTTTCAAATATATATTTGTAGACTTTGATAGTTTCTGACTTTAAACTCTCATTTTTCCTAAAGATTTTATTTTGAAAACACTTTCATTTGCAATCACAATTGGTTTCAATCAACTCAGTTGCAATCAACTGAGTTGCAACCAAATTCAGTTGCAATCAACACTCAATTGCAAGCAAAATCAATTGCAATTCAATTTATTTTATTAACTGCAGCTAAATACAAACAACTCACTAGCTGAAGGAACTGAGTCCTTGTCACAAACTCAAACTTTCTAATTTTTATTTATATCATATATCTATACAAGCTGATGGTTTAAATTTTTGTTATTTTAAACTTAGATTTAATCTAAGAGAATTCATAATTTGAAATATCTAAGGTCTACGACGTTTGCAAAGATATAGGGATTAGAAAATCAGAGTTTGTGACAAATACTCAACTCCTTTACTAAATCCAGTAGAATTGATGTTTAGAAATAAAAAGTGGATGATGGACATTTATTGCATGGACATACTGCTTGAAGAATCTGATGAATGTGTAGAAAATGCGCACTTCAAACCCACTACGTAAAACATGGATGTCTGTGAGGACATATTTAAGTCATATTCTTAATATTATAAATCAAAATTCGTCGAAAATAGCGTTAACGATTTAATATGATTTAATATTTGAATTACAAAGTCCAATAAAAAACCATACAATAGAAAAGTTTATAGCAGTAAATAATGGTTTACTTATCCTTACTTAGATATAGTAGTAAATAATTGATTGTGTATCCTTAGTTACCTAGATATAGTAGTAAAGATTGGATTGTGTATCCTTAGTTTTAGATATAGTAGTAAAGAATGAATTGTGTATCCTCAGTTAGATATAGTGGCAAAGAATGGATTGTGTATCCTTAGTTAGCTATATTAGTAAATAATGGATTGTGTATCCTTAGTTAGATATAATAATAGATAATGGATTGTATATCCTCAGTTAGATATATTAGTAAACAATGGATTGTGTATCCTTACTTAGATATATTAGTAAACAATGGATTGTGTATCCTTAGTTAAAGTAGTAAAGAATGGATTTTGTATCCTTAGTTAGATATAGTAGTAAAAAATGGATTGTGTATCCTTAGTTAGCTAGATATAGTAGTTGAATACCCATAATCCCGACACTTGATCTTGATATCCACAGTCGGCACTCTTGAATATTCTCTTGATTTTGGATATCTGCAATTTCTTCGTTCTATCATGGTTGAACGCAAACCTCCCTGGCTTGTGATTGGTTGTTCGTTGTGTTCACATGACACTTGAATTAGTTGAATATAAGACACCTCACTGGTTCGGAAAAAATATCAATCTGAAGATTAACAAAAGATGGATAAATATGCATGATCTCGATATTCACGAGATTCAAGAATTCCCAGCTCTAATAATGATTTAATGCTTGGTCATCCAGAAACTTCCCAATTTTGAATATACTCATGATAAACGGTGCATTACCTTCAAACATCTCAAATTACGCGCGTGCGGAGCTGATGAGGAATGCGCGCATATAAAGCCTAATTACGTAAAAGGAGAGCGCAAGCTTGATTCTTCAACAGAATTTAAATACCTATAAATATGCATATTTTTAAGGAATGGGCAACATGCGCCAGTTCGCCGAGTTTCAGAGTTAATATTTCTGTAGAATGGTATTATTGACTTATTTAAAGAGACTGTTCATTTATTTGGATAATTTGAGGGTAAAATAAATAGCCTATTTATAGTTATTCATTGGTATTAGCCTTACTTTTTAAAGATAACCGTGGCCGGAGAAAAAGACTATTTTTCGTTCAGAATTCGAGCGCTAAGGTACAGTACTTTTGCTTTTACTTTTTATGTATACATAGAATTTGGATTGTCCATATTGCACGAATCGTACTATACAGTTGTTTTTTAATGACTATTTTGGCTCTTTTAAAAATCGTCCTTAAAGGGACAGTAAAGGAAAAATGAAAGGGGGTATAGGTTAAAAGCTAATCTCTTTAGCTCTTGATCGCGACCCATGAAAGTTTTATCTGATGTTCCTGTCTCGAGAAATTGAACTACAACTGTGTTAAAATTATATGAAAATTCATATATGTAAAATTTAGAAAATCTTAAACTTAAATCACGTGACCAGAACTTTCACCAATGGCAGAGCAGTATACTGATCACGTGTTTTTGCCTGTATCACGTGACCACTGTACTGCACTGTCATTGGTGGATTTTCTGGTGAAGTAATTCGGACGTGTACATAATATTATGAATTAAATCTATTAAAAATAGAAATAACAAATATAAAATTAGAATTGGAGTAAACCTAAGTAATAATTAGCTTTCTCGGGGATATTATCGTTTTCAGATTGGTTGCATATTTGCTGAATTTGATCTATTTAAACCCACTACTTTTATACAAAATTGTATATATATTAATTTTCGTATAAATTTGACACAGTTGTAAATCAATTTCTTGAAACATTAACATCAGATATAACTTTCATGGGTTGCGATCGAGAGCTAAAGTGATTAGCTTTCAGTCTATACCCCCTTTCATTTTTCCTTTACTGTCCCTTTAATTCTAAAAATTGGGTATTTTTATTTCTTATCGAGTAAACAATCTCTTTAAAATGAAAGGGGAAAAGGTTGAATTATAATCATATTTATTTCTATCCGATAATTCCGTTAAGATAAACAGTTTTCAACAAATCTTCTGCGAATGAGCCTGGATTGATCATAACTCGAAAAATACTACACTAAATACTAAATATGTAGAAAATATTTGCAATTATATGCAAAATTTGATAATAACATTAGAAGAAAAAATCTCTTTAAAAATCTTTTTCATTAAAACTTAAAAATTGATATTCCTGGAAGTCAACAAAATTTTGAAAAATGGCGCTTTTAAGAAATCCTCTGACTCACGTAATCGTGAAAATTAGCGCAGCAAATTGTAAGTTGTGAAAAATATGGTTTTGATGAAGGGGTTTCGAGAGGAAGAGATGATTAAGGGGGGGGGCAAAGAAGTTTAGGAGAAAGGGTGGGGGAGTCAAGGGGGGGAAGGGTGAGGTTTAGGAGAAGGGTGGGGATGAGGGGCAGGCTGAATTATGGGTTTGAAGTTTGATAAGCGAGTGGAATTATCAATGCAACATATGTTAGGTATAGCTTATGTGAATATATATAAACTGCACGAATCTAATATATTCCATTCTTAAAACTTCTTTAATCATTAAAAAATCTATTTTTAAAAATTTAAAATGATAATGAATATGAGTTCTGGTTTACCCCTGATTGGCTCATCACAACAAATACTAGAATGTTCTATCCGCCTTCTTCTTCTTCTTCTTTTTTGCATTCAATTTCAATCCATGTTTATTCCAACATTTTATACAATTCAAATAAAAGTTTAAAAGAATTGTTATTAATGTTTTATGTAATACTACCTTGGGAGCCAGTAACCACAGAAATGGAAATTGAAACAGCCTAGGCCAACAATCTTTTAAATATTAATTATAAAATAACTCCATCTTTCTAATCATAATTTCAGATACTTCTCCGATTACATTTTGATAAAAACTTTTTGTTAAAAATCAAATAGATAAATCTTTTCTGAAAAAGAACATTTTTAGTTTTATGCAGACAGTAGATTTATATTTTTTAAATTATTTTATTAAAACAGTAAAATAATGTTTACTTTTTTTAATCTAAAATTTTCAAAGAAGAAAAAATATGTTCAATCTTATCCAAAAATAAAACACATTTAAAAACTGTGAAATGAATTCTCTTAAAATGATTAAGATAAAGCTAGCATTCCCTATTTTTAATCTATTTTTAAGATAACATTGAAAAAAAATATTTAACAACATTTTTGAACAATTTTAAAGATTGCAAAGAAGTCTGTGTCTGTATAAAACCCCTGTAAACATCTTGTAAAATAAATAATAAAGTTCTAAATACCTTACAACGCAACCTCGTAGTTTGGAATCCCCGCTTACATACGGTATATTAAATACAATATACTCAATTCTGTTGTTTCGTGACACCAACTCTATTCAGCCACTCTGCCATGCGACGTTACAATCTCTAGAGAAAAGAAACGATGTTTAAAAAAGATGCCGGATTAGGATTTGCTAATTAAATCAATGTGAACATTAGGTCACTGTGAAGCAAAAAGCTTTAATCTAACAACTTTGTATGAGCAATACTTTTTTCTTTTCTTATTAGTTTATGAGCAATACTTATTAGTTTATGAGCAATACTTATTAGTTTATGAGCAATACTTATTAGTTTATGAGCAATGCTTATTAGTTTTTTTAGTTTATAGTTTTCAATGTAAATTGTCCTTGTTGGCAAAAAAGGTTTCCACTTGGGTTTTAGTTTTCAAACTTTTTTCAAAAATATTCTATGTGTACATGGAATTAACAAAAGCATGGCGTCAGGACATCTACCAATATGTCAAGTTGTACATAAGATTAAACTATTATACGTTTTCTCAATCATAACTCAATCATGTTTTGAATTCTTAATATGTAAATTTGTTTATCTAGAGGAACTAGGAGGTCAAAAAGTCGTACGTAACATGTTGCAATAATTTAACCTTGCAGTGATGCAGTATTTAACCGGGAAGCCCGTAGCACATGAAAAGATGTAACTTGAATAAAAGATACGAAGTTTATCCGTCCGAGTATATTTCACGAAAAATTAGAATGCTTTTAAGATACCTACAATCTACATATGAAACCAGAAAAATATGTACCCAGATGACTGTAGGTAAGTTTAGCTATATAAGAATAATATAACCAAATAATTATAGACATTTAACCAGATAAATGTTGACATGTAACTACTGCAAACTAGCCAGAAGGAGGAGGTCAAATCCTTGATCTCGTAGCTCCTGTAGTTTTTCATATGCAAAGCAAATTTATCCAACATATAACATTTTTGATGTTCTCAATATATTTTCAAGAAGAGGAGTCATGATTGCAAACATATAAGATTTTTTTAATTACGTGCAATTTACTTTTTTTAAACGTGTAAACAGAAAAATGTATCTTTGGAACTAAATGTCGGCATGTAAACAGATAATTGTGGATATGTATAAACAGATAATTATAAATATTTAACCAGATAAATGTAACTATGTAACCAGACAAACGTAAATTTGCATAACCAACTAAATACAGCTATTTCACCAGAAAAATATAGCTTTTTAACCAGATAAAAATGTGGTCATGTAATCAGGAACATGTAGTTATGTAACCAGATAAATGTAGCTATGTAATCAGATAAATGCGGTTATGTAAGCCAGATAAATATAACTATGCAATCAGATAAATGTAGTTATGTGACCAGATAAATTTAGCTATATAATCAGGTACATGTAGTTATGTAACCAGATAAATGTAGCTATGTAATCAGATAAATGTAGTTATGTAACCAGATAAATGTAGCTATGTAATCAGATAAATGTAGTGATGTAACCAGATAAATGTAGGTATGTAATCAGATAAATGTAGTTATGCAACCAGATAAATGTAGCTATGTAATCAGATAAATGTAGTTATGTAACCTGATAAATGTAGCTATATAATCAGATAAGTGTAGTTATGTAACCAGAGAAATGTAGCTATGTAATCAGATAAATGTAGCTATTGACCAGATGAGTACTCTAAAGGTTGAAATATGTATATTAAGTTTGGTTTCCAGGTTCTTCCCAAATACAGAGATGTTCAGAGACGTTTGATAGATTTAGGAGACTCAAGTAATACACTGGACAAAATGGATCCTATTTGTTTTTTATTGTATTCCTGCGTTTATAGAGCTGGCTAGACTAAACTGTTTGTCCGGCTCAGTGTGAGACTGTCAGACTTACATTTCTACTCAGATAATGTTACAGCACAGGGAAAACTATAATTTCCTGTGCTGCTGTGATGTTGTGTGAAAAGCTGTAAACTGTACTGCATAACTGTAAACTGTACTGCATAACTTTACACTGTACTGCATAACTGTAAACTGTACTGCATATCATAACTGTAAACTGTATTGCATAGCTGTAAACTGTACTGCATAACTGTAAACTGTACTGCATAACTTTACACTGTACTGCATAACTGTAAACTGCACTGCATAACTGTTAACTGTATTGCATAGCTGTAAATTGTACTGCATAACTGTAAACTGTATTGCATGGCTGTAAACTGCATTGCATAACTGTAAACTGTATTGCATAGCTGTAAACTGAAATGCATAACTGTAAACTGTACTGCATAAATGTAATCTGTACTTAATAACTCTAAACTGTACTGCATAACTGTAAATTGTACTGCATAACTGTAAACTGTATTGCACAGCTGTAAACTGTACTTCAAAACTGTAAACTATACTGTATAACTGTAAACTCTGCTGTTTAACTGTAAACTCTACTATGAAACTGTAAAATGTACTGTATGACTGTATACTGTACAGTATAGTTGTGTAAACTGTACAGTATAGCTGTAAACAGTACCGTATAACTGTAAAATGTAATTTTAACTGTAAACTGTACTGTATAACTGTAAACTGCACTGTATATCTGTAAACTGTACCGTATAACTGTAAACTGAACTGCATAACTATAAACTGTACTGTGCAACTGTAATATTTGTACTGTTTAACTGTAAACTGTACTGTTTAACTGTGTAAACTGTACTGTTTAACTGTGTAAACTGTACTGTATAACTGTACACTGTACTGTATAGCTGTAAAGTGTACTGTATAACTGTAAACTGTACTGTATAACTGTAAACTGTACTTTTTAACTGTAAACTGTACTGAATAACTGTACACTGTTCTGTTTAGCTGTAAACTGTACTGTATAACTGTAAACTGTACTGTTTAACTGTAAACTCTACTGTATAACAATAATTTCTACTGTATAACTACAAGCTGTACTGCTTAACTGTAAACTGTACTGCATAACAGTAAACTGAACTGCTCGACTGCAATACCTAGCTGTACGTGTTTAAATATCCTGACATTCAAATTTCTTGGATTCGACTATAGCCAGTCTGATAAATCTTTTTACATATTTATACATTCTTTGTGAAATTTGAGAATGTTCGCCAGTTTAATTTAATTCCTAGATCGAATTAGGAAGGAACGCATGCAGAGCTGTAATTTGTATTTCTTTACTCCTTGGTGTAACGATTCCTGTGTCAATTAATAGGGTTAAACCTTTTGAAGGGACTGTAAAGGGAAAATGAAAAGGGTATAGGCTGTAAACTAATCACTTTAGCTCTTGGTCGCGACCCTTGAAAGTTATATCTGATGTTCCTGTCTCGAGAAATTGATCAAAGGAATTGAGTCTTTTCCACAAACTCTGGTTTTTAAATCCCTATATCTTAACAACCCAATGTTGTAGACCTTAGATAATTCAAACTATGACTTCTGTTATATCAAACAATCAAAGTTTGAAATATCTAAGGTTTACGTAGTTTGGTTGTAGATATATAGGTAGTTGAAAATTGGGATTTGTTGCAAAAACTCAATTCCTTTATTTTATAAACTGATCGAATTTATATTTAGAATTCGACTGTAGAAAATTAGTTCTAATGAAGTTATCTAAGTTCGACTTAAGTTAAATATAAGAACAACAGAAAGTAGTTAAGTTCGACTAAAGTTGGATAAGTTCAGATAAAGTTACAGAAGTTCCACTGTAGTTAGATAAGTTCGACTGAAGTAAGATACGTTGGACTGAAGTTAGCTAAGTTCGGATAAAATTAAAGAAGTTCCACTGAAGTTAGCTAAATCCGACTTAATTTAGATAAGTTATACTGAAGCTATATAAGTTCGACTGAAGTTAGCTAAGTTCGGATAAAGTTAGAGAAGTTCCACTGAAGTTATAGCTAAGTTCGACTAAACTTAGATAAGTTCGAATAAAGTTAAATACGTTCGACTGAAGTTAGATAAGTGGAACTGACGTTAGATAAGTCGAACTGACGTTAGATAAGTTCGACTGAAGTTAGATAAGTGGAACTGACGTTAGATAAGTTCGACTGAAGTTAGCTAGGTTCGACTAAGTTTCCTTGAACATGGCAGGTTATTATTTTGGTTCACACGAGACACTAAGATAGAGAAAGATATCTATCTTTGAACCTCACTGTCGATTATTCAATGTCCAGTCTGTCCTATATTTAAGCATCTATCCATCTATCTATCTGAAAGTTTAACTATCTATCTATGAATCTATCTGTGTGAACGGGTAATATATATCAGATATCTATCTATTTCTATTCTTCCCCTGGGTTCACTCCTAATATCTTGAGATTTAGTACACAGATAGAATTATATATAGTCACAGGTATACATGGATAGATAGATAAATAGATAGATATAAGGAGAGATAGATAGATAGACAGAAAGATATATTCATAGATAGATAGATATATAGATAAGAGTATTGAACTACATGAAAGGAAAAGTGAGTAGTTAACCAAATGAAAGAAAAAGTAAGTGTTAAACTATATGAAAGGAAAAGTAATTATTAAACCAAATGAAAGGAATAGTAAGTATTAAACCAAAGGAAAGGAAAAGAAAATGTTAAACTAAATGAAAGGAAAAGTGAGTGCTAAACTAAAAGAAAGGAAAAGTAAGTATTAAACTAAATGAAAGGAAAAGTAAGTTTTAAACTAAATGAAAGGAAGGGTAAGTATTTAAACTAAATGAAAAGAAAAGTGAGTGCAAAACAAAATGAAAGTAATAACAAAAATTAAACCCAATTAGAGGATAAGTAAATATTAATCTAAATAAAAGGAAAAGTAAATTTTAAACTAAATGAAAGGAAAAGTGAATTTTAAACTAATTAAAGTAAAAGTGAATTCTAAACTAAATAAAAGGAAAAGTGAATTTTAAACTAAATAAAAGGAAAAGTGAATTTTAAACTAAATAAAAGTAAAAGTGAATTCTAAACTAAATGAAAGGAAAAGTGAATTCTAAACTAAATAAAAGGAAATGTGAATTCTAAACTAAATAAAAGGAAAAGTGAATTCTAAACTAAATGTAAGGAAAGGCAATTGTAAACTTAATGTAAGGAAAAGTGAAATGAATGTTTCATAAGAAAGTGAATTTATCAATTCACACACCTGGGGAAGGTTTTATACATTTATGGCACTCGCACCTTGCATTTAAAATAGTTATATATTGACGCAAAATAAAATAGATAGAATGGAATAAAAGAAACATTATTTAATATAACAAGTTCTTTTTACACGTGTATATGTATTAAGCAATTGCAATTTGTAGAAACCCTAAAAAAATATTAATTTTTTCAAATAATCCATTTTACTATGAAAAGCTGAATCAGTTCAAGACTTTGAAGTGTAGCAACCACTTGGCCTTTACTTTTCACTTACTAACTCACTATACTTTATTGTAGCCCTAAACATGTACATTCTAAAACTGAAGCAATTTTTTTAGCGTTTGTTCCTGGAAAAAAATTCTCATAGATTTTTACGTAAGAGCATGCAACCTTTGGATCACTGTTGTTTATTAACTAATATTTTTTTACAGAATAGAGAGTAGAGAGTGGTATGGAAGAGAGCTGATGAATATGAAGTGAGGATCTATATATAATATATAAATAAATATTTGTAGAGACTAGAGACTAGAGAGTGGTATGGAAGAGAGCTGATGAATATGAAGAGAGGATATATATAAAACATATAAATATACATTTGTAGAGACTAGAGACTAGAGAGTGGTATGGAAGAGAGCTGATGAATATGAAGTGAGGATATATATATATATAACATATAAATAAATATTTGTAGAGACTAGAGACTAGAGTGTGGTATGGAAGAGAGCTGATGAATATGAAGTTAGGATCTATAAGTAACATATAAATAAATATTTGTAGAGACTAGAGACTAGTGAGTGGTATGAAAGAGAGCAGATGAATGATGAAGTTAGGATCTATATATAACATATAAATATTTGTAGAGACTAGAGACTAGAGTGTGGTATGGAAGAGAGCTGATGTCGATGAATATGAAGTGAGGATCTATATATAACATATAAATAAATATTTGTAGAGACTAGAGACTAGTGAGTGGTATGGAAGAGAGCTGATGAATAATGAAGTGAGGATCGCCCTACCCCCAAACCCTCATTAGTATGTATTTAATTCAAAACAGTGGGGTTATCTATTCATCTATCTTACTACCTATCTCACCTAGATGCTACCTAAGCTTATATTTTTTTTCGGAATTTTAAGTTTCTACCTACAGCCTACAGCCTACGGGTTACCTACAAAATATGTGATTTTAGAGGCAACAACATTTACTGAATCCATAGTTTAAAATATTTTAGGTGTACGAAATCAGGGTTGAAATTTTTTAGAATTGTGGATATCGAGATCACTGCTTGATCTCCTCTTTTTGTTAATCTGAAGATTAATATAATATTTTTTTGGATATTCTGAAAAGTGCATAAAATTCAACCAATCAGAGTGTCGTTTGCATAAACTGAATAGCCAATCAGAAGCCGGGAAGTTTCATTCAATGAGAGAACTCTTATTGTTCGGAACCCAGCAGGGATATTCAAAAGAGAGGATCAAGCAGAAAATCAAAAGTGTTCACAGTGGATATCTAGAGCAAGTGAACTGGATTAAAAGTATCCAACACAAGAGTTTCCACCTAGGCTCACAAATCTAGGATATACAGATTTAAAATCTAGGATATACAGATTTAAAATCTAGGATATACAGATTTAAAAAAGTAGTTTTTGAGGAAAATTAGCAGTTCTATTATACCTAATCTACGGCTCTATTACAACCAAAACTTGATTCTGACCAAGGGTGTAATGCCAGGAAAGTTAATTGCGGTTGTGTATACTCTGCGTACATATTGAAACCAGTTCTCTTCGGGCGGAATTTGTAAACAAGAATAGATGCATCAGTGTTCGTTTAGTATCCGAGGAGGTTAAAAGCATTAAATTTGATAATTTTGATAATTCACAGAATAGTTTCCTATGACCAGAATATTTCATTGATTTTTTTTGTGAAAGATGGATCCCATGTCAGGCTGTAACATCCGTCTTGTGTTTACATTACTGCACAGAGACAGTACACTGCAGTACAAAAGTTGAGTACACTTCTGAAATAACTTTCCTTGCATTACATCTTTGATTCTGACTAGAATTACAAAGAAATGTCTGCTGAAAATCTACATACGGAGCAAAATATATTAAATAAAAAACAATAAGAACTTGATTAAAGTTTCATAGATTTTGAAAAGATTTTATTCTTTGCTTTGATTCAACTCTCAGTAATGTTTAACTCCCGTCCAACTAAAATAAGAATGTAAATAAAGGAACATGCTTGACGAACAAACAATGTATTTTTCTACTATTGATTGAACTATATCAACACATTGTGACATACAAGTTTACAAATAGCACACTAAATAATATCCTTTTTTACTCTTTACTCTTCAACTCTTAATCCAGTTCCTTTATAATACTTCCTTGGAGTGAGAGGATGATTTTTAAGATTTTAAAATCACTCCCATCCAACCTTTAAATTAAAACAAGCCTTGGTTCCATTTATGGCGGAACCAGCAAAAACTTCATTTTTGGAATAGAATGAAACAATGCACGGCAGTTATAAATAGTTCAAATATTCGTGCCAAACCAGGCAAATTTTTAATTAACCCTCAAACTCTAAATTTCATATATACTTGTATCAATTCAAAACTTTTCATTGGAATTATATTAATATTTTTGAGATGCAACCCAACCAAAGTATCCCAGAGATGCAACCCAACCAAAGTATCCTTGAGATGCAACCCAACCAAAGTATCCCAGAGATGCAATCAAACCAAAGTATTCCACAAATGCAACCCAACCAAAGAATCCCAGAGATGCAACCCAACCAAAGTATCCCAGTGATGCAACCCAACCAAAGTATCCTTGAGATGCAACCCAGCCAAAGTATCCCAAAGATGCCACCCAACCAAAGTATCCCAGAGATGCAACCCAACCAAAGTATCCCAGAGATGCAACCAAACCAAAGTATTCCACAGATGCAACCCAACCAACGAATACCAGAGATGCAACCCAACCAAAGTATCCCAGTGATGCAACCCAACCAAAGTATCTTTGAGATGCAACCCAGCCAAAGTATCCCAAAGATGCCACCCAACCAAAGAATCCCAGTGATGCAAC